GCAGCTCCCACGGGAGAAGACCCGCCTTTGGCTTTCATAGTCTTTCTTTAATAAACAAAGAGCATCAACAGGGAAAGCAGTAAGACTTGCTTTGCAGTTCAAATATTAGATAATGAAAATGTTTATTTTACAATAGGGGTCAGCAACCCAAGTTCAGCTGCCTCTTGCTGTTAGGAGCAGCTGTACTGGAACACAGCTGCCCTCGTCCACATCTTTATTTTCTGTGGGTGCTTTTACATCCTGGTGACACAGCTGAGCAGCTGTGACCGAGACTGTATGGTCTGCAGAGCCCTCCAAACCGTTACTCTTTGGACCTTTCCAGAAAAAAGCTACCAGCTCCTGGGGAATGAGAGCAAAGTGAGCCCCGCATTGCCGTAACAGTCTCTCATGAGAGCAACGGTGGTCTGCATTTTACTACCAGTGAGCTGAGCTGTTAAGAGCCAGAGGACGGGAAAGGCGAGATCAGACGGGGTCGTGCTCCCACAGTCCCTCACGGAAGAGGAAAGACTGCGGCATCGGGCAATGTTTATAGATTAGGCTGAATCCACGATAGACCATGTTTGTTACTAAGATAAGTGACAGCTTGAAGTCCGAAAACTGCAATGTCACCATTTAAAGATCGGCCTGAGGCTGGTGCCCTGTTATATTCTGCTTCTACTGTAGCCATGTGCCTAAGAAGGAATAAAGATACTTTGAATATTCCTTCAGTTAAAAATACAGAAGATACACAAGTTGAGGTAGAGTTGTAGCTCCAGGGTAGCGCCTGCCTGGCATGTCAGAGGCCCTGCATTTGATCAGAGACACTGAAAAAAAGAAAACAAAGAAAAAAATCAGACAAAAAAGCCGGGCGTGGTGGCTCATGCCTGTAATCCCAGCACTCAGGAGGCTGAGGCAGGAGGATCCTGGAGAGTTCAAGATCAGCCTGGGCTACAATGTGAGCTCAAGGGAGCCTGAACTGCATAGTGACATCCTGTCTCAAAAAAACAAAAAGAAATCAAACAAAAAGAGAGAGAGTTGAGCTTAGGTGGCCTCTGAGATTAAGGTGACAAAATACTCAGAAAAGTGATTCAGTAAGACAATGACACGAAACTGTAAAGTGTAAGTGAAAATCACATCTGACTTTCGTAATTGAGTGTTTAATGCCCAGCTGCAGGCTACGTTATTTGAGGCAACAACAAACTGAGAAAACCTGGCTTACCTGAAACATAATTAAGTCCCTGAGGCCGCAGCCACAGCGCCTAGAACTGTCCTAGGACGCCATCCCCTCTGGCACCCCACATGGAAAAGGGAGAACCGGGCGGGAAGTGGGGGAAGCAACTCAGCCTCGGGGCAGCTGGGCCTCAGACAGTTCCAGTCTCTGCGTCAGAGAGTATTTCACGGAAGCAGCAACACGAGGCAGCATCCACTCTGCCTCCTGTGTGGCTGGATCAGAGTAGTTTAGGATTCTGGTTTCCACCATGTTAGTGGCAAAATAGGTGTTTTTGTCTTTGAGGAGTCTAAACAGAAAGAAAATGATACATAGATTGATTATATAGACATATACATAAATATACACACAGTGCATAATTATGCACATATATGCACGCATATGTGTATGTGTTTGTGGTATGGGTTCTTTGTGTTTTGGTACAGTTCCAGTCCATTTTTATTTATTTATTTAGCTTTAACTTTTGAGACATATCTTGCTAACCTGCCCAGGCTGGGCTACACTTAGGATCTTCCTGACTCAGCTTCCCAGAGTTCTGGGATACAGGTGCACACAATCACATCTAGCTGTGTAATTGTATTATTAATTCCTATTCCTGTGCAGACACAAACAATAATCACGTTTGCACACCCATAGAGAATCTCTAGAGGAGTAAACAAGAAGGAAATACTTTGTATCGAATAGTGCTTCAGGATTTAAAAAATTAAATAAATGTTTATTTTGTGGAGGAGAGACAGAAGAAAGGAGAAAGAAGGTGAAGTTTCCCTTTTAGCCTTCACTCACCAGGAAAGAGACAATGAGGTGTTGGTGGAAAGATTGATAGAGTTATTTCCAAAAGATGAAAAATATTAACAAAAGATGAGAAATATAAAATAAAAAGCGGCCTTTATTCTGAGAACACGGAGAGAAATGACCGGCACCCCCACCGCTGGCATCCGGCAATCTCTCTGGCTGACACGTGGCGTGGGGGCCTGTAAATAGCCTCAGTTTGGGGTGGAACCTAAGGCGGGCATTAGGGATACACAGGTAGCCCATTGGTCCTAGGTTTGGCGCCATATGTAAATTCCCAGGGGCGGGAAGATGGCGTCACAGGTAACTTCCTAGGGGCAGGGGAGATGGAGCTTCCTGCTTCCGGTTGTGGCTTTCCTGGCTACAGTGTCCTATCTGGAACAAAACCCTTTCATATCCCGTCTTATGATTATTATTATGAAAAGGGGCGAAGATTTCTCTCTTTAACTACTTCCTGCTGGCAAAGGGCACTGTACTGGAGCCTAGGGGAGTTGACGGGATGAAAGTTGATGCCCAGGTAGACACTGGTGCCAGGTGTTTTAGCCAGGACAACTTCACTGATGAATGCATGTATGTCAGACTGGAAAAACAAAGAGACAAGATGTTATGAGGAGACATGGCACTGTCATATTAAGGACCCAGGTGAGGTAGAAGGAAAGGTGCCTTTGATTTAGACATATCATTCTATCAGGACCATGTTGAGGTAGAAACATTTCCATAGTAAGGCAGAATTCTGAGAATTAAACGTGGGGTTAGGAGGCGTGGAGTTATGAGAGGTGATTACTCGCCCATCTGAAAACATAAAAGTTAAGACGGTAGGTGTATAAAACTTGTCTCCGGTCCAGGAGTTGAACTGGAAAGAATAGGGGGAGCAGGGAAGGCACTGGCTGTACCCGTATAGGGAAGGTAAGGGCTTAGGCTTTTAGGGATGTCACGTTTAACCAGACAGCTGAGGGTAGAAAGAACTGCAACTGTTATCATATAGAACATTATGAAGATTATCTTACGCATGATGTGGGAGTCTTTAGGAAAGACTGTCAAGAGTCCTGCTGTAAAAATGATCATTAATAGAATGTAAGAAATTAGGAACCAAAGTTGATAACAAAACATGACTTAGCCTGTTAACTGTGGCTGTGAGGCCTTTGTGAGACGGAGACGGGTAGGTGACAGAAGATGAGATGACCACTCAGAATGATCAGATTTAGGGCTGGAAGGGCACCTAGCCTGAGCGATGTGAAACCAGAATGGCAGTCTAGCAACTTTGATTTAGGCATGGGTCGCTGTAACCTGGTTGTAGTCCTTGAAATGATTTGCTGTAACAGAACTTTAGCAAGTATGAGAAAGACTTTTATGTATCCTGAAAAAGTATAAACTAAGTGAGAAGACTGGGACCTGCACAAAATAGGCCCTGTTGTAAACGGCATAGGTTGACCATCAATACCCTGTCATAGAGATTGAGGACTTAATATAGCAGCCTGAATACTCAGGAAGAACTCTGTATATATGGCCTCTATGTCCACAAATATAGAGAATGTCTTACCTGAGACTTTAGTGCGACTTGGAATCCGTGACGGACACCCACAAAGGGGGCTGCTGGCCCTGAGTCTTCTCAGTCTTCAGCAGCGATTTTCTGTTGGTGACAAATCTGGCAGTGTTGACATTTCCTGTGAGGGCTATTACTTAGGATGACTTACCCAGTCTCTGGTGGCTAGGACAGTCCAGTAGCCCTGGAGTAAGGTCTCAAAGAATGCCAGGATGGGGCATTTTGTTGCCCAATGTCTTCTGCTGCATTTGAGTGTGGTCCATGGAGGGGGCAGGCAGCTCCACCATGTGTGGGTTTACCTGTCTCAGAACTCCAAGTGTCACAAGTGTTAAAATTATGAAAAACCATATTAAGATCTCTATAAGGTTTGAAGGTCAAGTTTTGCCTTTTTGTTTGGGATTTGGACTACAGTAGAATTAAGTAAGTATGCAGGAATTTAATATTGGCATTTTAGATCAGAGAGTAGGCTTTATCTGGATGGCATATAAAGTTGTTATTTGCAGTAGTATGAACCAAGACAAATAAAATAAAACTTTGAAGAAAACCCTTGTCTTGAAATAGAGCTAGTGGTTCCCAGCAAAAAGGAACTTATAACCTCAGTTGTTACACGCGAGAATGCTGAAGGCTTTGACTGATAAACAAGGCTGGTAAAATTATCAGGTGGCCAGTAACTTTGATTAAATGGTTTGAGAATTGTAATAAAAAGCATCTTTTGAGCGGAGCCAAATTGTAAAAAAAAGCATGCCTGAGCAGAGCCGCTGAGCTGCTGTTTCGCGGCGCTCCGGCAGAGCATGCCCAGTGGGTGGGGCAAGCGCTGGGATGTAGCGCACAGGGGCAGGCTCAGACTGGAACCGTGTAAGGTGGCAGCGGCGGTGAGGAGGATGGCGCACAGGGGAGGGAGGGGCTGGGTCAGCACATGGAGGAGGGGCTGGGAGGCAGCCCAACACAGTGCACAAAGCTGAAACTGCTTGCAGGGCTCGAGTATTAGAAAGCCAATTTAGGAACACAGCTGGGTTTTGATTAGCTTCCTGGACCTGTTTTAAAAGTTTGTTATAGTTCATATGCTTGACCTGCTCTGGCACAGCTATAGGCCTAGAGTCATTATCAGCGGTGTTTACCTCATGTCTGTGATCAGCTTTTTCTCGAACTGCTTGCCACAGCTGATTTTGTTTTTCTGAGCTGAAACTGCTTGCAGGGCTCGAGTATTAGAAAGCCAATTTAGGAACACAGCTGGGTTTTGATTAGCTTCCTGGACCTGTTTTAAAAGTTTGTTATAGTTCATATGCTTGACCTGCTCTGGCACAGCTATAGGCCTAGAGTCATTATCAGCGGTGTTTACCTCATGTCTGTGATCAGCTTTTTCTCGAACTGCTTGCCACAGCTGATTTTGTTTTTCTGAGCTGAGAGTGTTATTTAAAATCACATAAACATCCTTAAAATGTAAATCATAACAATTAGTAATAAATTCAAATTGCCTGATATAATTCTGTGGGTCAACAGAAAAGCTACCTAATTTATGGGCAATCTGGGATAGATCAGAAAGGGAAAAAGGCACATGGATGTTAACAAGCCCCTCGGGGCCAGCTGGCTCCCGAAGTGGTAGCAGAGCCTGAGGAGATTCCGGAGCAGGGGGCACTGAGCAGCCATCCTTCCAGTAGGCGCATGTAAGCAATCATCTGTAGAGCAGCTACAGAGCTGCTGCCGGTCACCCTGGGAAACACAAGCAGATGGCGTCTCACTGTGTGCCTTGCAACGAGAGGACTGCTGTCGGCAGCACAATGAAGCATCATGTGCACTGCAACAGGGCGGCTGTTGCAGTTCACAAGAGGAGCCACAAGGGGACACCCGTTGACAGTGAGGGTCCTGGGAACATGGCGGTGCCCTGTCACGTGACCCAAAACATGGCGGCGCCCTGTTGCCATGTGGCCTTCCTGAACATGGCGGCGCCATGCCACGTGGCAGAGGGTTGCAACATGGCGACTATTCCGGGCGCAAGCTGGAACAATCACACAGCCTGCTGGAAGGACATAGCGACCAGGACCTAGTATGGTGGGCGGGCGGTGAGAATGGTGTAGGGGATACAGAATTCTCAGGAGAAGTCGGAGACTGCGAGGAAGCACTAACAGAGGGATCAGAGCCGCTGGGAGAGTTATGGGTCCCAGGAGATGGAGGGGAAGAGGATCACACAGCGGGAGATAACTGCGACACAGAGGGATTAGAGCTGCTGGGAGAGTTATGGGTCCTGGAAGGCGGAGAGGGAGAGGATCGCACAGCAGGAGGTATCTGCGACGGAGAGGGATTAGAGCTGCTGAGAGAATCAGGCATAGGGGGAGGAGAGAGCGGTCTGGCGGGAGGTAACAGCAGGGAATGAGTTTGGTGGTAGGCAGGCGGTGGCCGGGAAAACGGAGGGCAGGACGGAAAAGTTTGCGGCGCGGTAGAGTTAGCTAAAAGTATCTCAGCGGGAGCACAAGACTTAATGAGAGACTGGCGTGTTCTCAGAACAAGAAAGGCCTGGACATAAGGGAGTTCTAATAACTTGTTGCCAGCTTGACAAAAATCATACAAGTTCCTGAGAATGCAGGGGTCAAATGTTCCTTGCCGGGGGCCAAGGCTTGCCGATAAGCGGGTAGGTTGGCCAGACCTCCTGGCAGTAAAAAGTTAGTTGTTTAGTTTTTATGGTACCTTTAATTTTTAGAGTACGTAAATTGGAAATTAGGCATTGTAAAGGCATCTTTTGGGAGTTAGAAAATACGTTCCCCATGACTGATTCAGGCAAGAAAAAAACCGGAGGTCCAGAACAAGTCGTCACTTATTTGTGGCACCACGCGGCAGCTATGGTTCCAAAAACTCGTAAATTCCAGTCGTCACTGAGAGATTTAGGAGTGGAGCCTGCGTGGGGTCAGTAACAGTTTTGCCTGTGAAAGCGCAAGGCTTTAAGGGAAGTGCGGCATTCTTTCAGTGTGGGCAGTCCCAAAAATCTCTGCTTTGGGCTATCCTAACCCAAAGAACGTGAGAGATTTTGTGGACGCAGGTTTGCCCAGAAAGAACCCTGCCCTGGGCGGTCCTAAGGACGTGAAAATGCACAGACTCATGCAGACGGGGAGAACATTCCACTGGGGCTGCCCAGTGCGAAAAGTTCCCCGGGGAGTGCTCACCTGAAATCAGTCTGGCCGATGCGGAGTGCAGGCGGCTGGCGACAGGAACGTCTTGGGAGAGGAAAAAGCTCAGGATTAATCCAGGATGTTATCTGGTTATCGGCTAGGAGACTCAACTGGGTATGTGGCCCAAGAGTCAGTTGCCTGCCGATCGAGTCATGGCACCAAATGATAGAGTTATTTCCAAAAGATGAAAAATATTAACAAAAGATGAGAAATATAAAATAAAAAGCGGCCTTTATTCTGAGAACATGGAGAGAGATGACCGGCACCCCCACCACTGGTGTCCGGCAATCTCTCTGGTGGACACGTGGTGTGGGGGCCTGTAAATAGCCTCAGTTTGGGGTGGGACCTAAGGTGGGCATTAGGGATACACAGGTAGCCCATTGGTCCTAGGTTTGGCGCCATATGTAAATTCCCAGGGGCGGGAAGATGGCGTCACAGGTAACTTCCTAGGGGCAGGGGAGATGGGGCTTCCTGCTTCCGGTTGTGGCTTTCCTGGCTACAGTGTCCTATCTGGGCCAAAACCCTTTCAAAGATGAAACCATGCTCAGCGCTGTTCCAAACTTTAAAGAGTAGCCAGGAAGCCCCTAGAGGAGTGGAAGTTTCTAGAAGGGAAAATGAGCCAGCAGAGCCAGGTTTCCTAACACACTTACAGTTAAATGCTTGCGGAAAAGAGGAAAGGTTAACAGCAAAGCTGGAAGCCAAGCTATTAAAGCAGCCTGGGGCTTTAACACCGGGTATATAAGGACCCCGAAGAGCCACCAGCAGAGCACACGGGCGCCCCCTTCAGGCCCCGCAGGGAACGCGCCCCGCAGGGAACGCCTCAGCCCACAGCTGCTCCTGCTCCCTGCTGCTCCCCCTGCAGGGCGCTGGGGAGGAGCCCGGCCTCGCGCATGCTCCGTGAGAGGGGGGGGTGTGTGTGTCAATTCCCAGACCGGTGCTCTGTGCTTGATTAAATACGCATGTGCTAATCAGGAATGTAATGCGTTTAATTATTAAAACAATAAAACAAACAGATTCATTCATATTTATTCTCCATGCACTTTAACTGGAATTGAACCTAAATCTTGTACTGAGTAAGCCCTTTTCACACCAACGCGATTGGTTGAATCATTGGGACAGAGGGGGCCTCTGTGATTGAGGGCGGAGCCGACTCCTGTCACAGCAACCAACCGCATAACCTACCAGGATCCTGTTCTGTACTTAAGAGTTCTATTTTTCTTTCTTCTTTAAGAATTATTAAAGGCAATTTTTAAGAATCTGTTTACTGCTGGAAATTTGAACACTAACAGGTATTTAATATTATGAACTACTGTGAATTACTTCGGGTATGATAATGGCCTTGTAGTTATTTTGAGTCTATTTATTAATTTATTTATTTAGGTTTTTTGAGACAAGGTCTCACTCTGTGCCCCAGGATGGCATCAGACTCAAGGCAATCCTCCTGCCTCAGCCTCCGGGGGCTGGGATTACAGATATGCACCGCCATGCCCAGCTTGATTCCTTATCTTTAAAGGCACACATCCAGCTTAGATTTTGGATGTCCCCGCTCTCACATAGGCTCCTGTGTTTCAGGCTTGGTCACAGCATGTGGTGCTGCAGTTGAGCGATATGTGGAGCCTTCAGGTTAAAAGTTAAATCTTTTGAACATTTACATTTTGAGTATTTCTTAAATAAATATTTCACTAAGGAGTCTTTTAAAGATGTAAAAAGAGCAAGATCACAAGAGATTACTGTGCAGATGACTCTGGTATCTCATAAGATCAATTACCAATAGAATATATTTCTACTTACGTACTACTAAATTCTTGTGCATTAAATATAAAAAGAATTATCACTTCCCTAAACTGACTTGATCTTTCATCCTAGACAGTAGCCCTCTTTTGATCTGTGAACAGGAGACTAATACCACAAATGCTTATAATAGTATATGATTCACAAACTTTACATTAAACTATGTTTTAACTGCACCGTGCTGACTGTGACACTGCCAGCAAGGGAGTGTGGTAGACTGTCATATTTCACACAGTCATGATTTCCACCTCATAGGCTAAAATACAAAAGAGATTTGATGCTTCAGCTGTGTACAAAACACACACACACACACACACACACACACACACACACACACACAATGACTTTTGCACTTCACTATTCTGATGTCCTCTTCCTGCACAGCACCCACATTCCTGTCTGTTAGGAAACGCACAGCAACCCTTTTCCTTGGTGTGCGTTTCTGGCCAGCCCTGTCTCTGAAGCAGACTTACTGGTGTCTTTTTCTTTAGCCATTACATACCCATTACATAGCTCTCTGGTGTTCCAGATCTTCTTTAAGAGAAGTAAAGTGTGTTCAAGGGTAAGTTTACAATTGTTCGAGCCTCTGAGTATAAATCAAGGGGACAAATATGATTTATCTTCCAAACCAGGATATTTTTAAGAGTAAAAAGGGCCACTAAGACAAATTATTACATCCAAAATGGATGTACTATCTCAAGTAAGTCAGAACTTGTGGTTGCCCTCTGTAAAAACAATTCCAGAAATAGAAACAAACTTTTTATTTCACTGGATTGCCTTGGTGTTTTGTAAAAGGTACAGGCACAAAGTTGAAATAGATAAACCATGCTGGGTGTGGTGGCACACATCTGTAATCCCACCACTCAGGAGGCTGAGCCAGGAAGACAGCTATGAGTTTGAGGCTGGCCAGGATTGCACAGTGAGGCCCTATCTCAAACACCAACAAAACAAAATACATCAATATACATAGTCTCAGAACACGTAAGGATGAAATGCTTGATCATGCATGATTTGTGTCAAAATGTTCACTGATTCCCAGCTGCTTAGAAGGATGGCAGAAGCAATTCTGAGACAGGAAAGGCCCAGCACGTGTCCACGTGGATGCTCTCATCACCCACCACAGTGGCCACGGCTACAATCCCACGACACAGGCGTCTCTGTCGTGGGTTTGTCTCAATGCAGATCAAAGACCAAATCACAGACATTAGAAGGAAATAATAAACACTCACAAATATTTTAATGAATAAAGAAAATTCAATCTCGGCACTGTAGATAAAGAGAATCAGGATTTTCCTTTTAGAGACAAAGGGGAAAGACAGAGACTCCTGCGTCCACCCCGTTGCCCCAGGTGGCTAAGGCAGCCCAGCCAGGTGGGAGGTGGGAGCGAGGGGAGGAACAGGGGACAGATGAGCACCCGAGCTCGGTGCCCACGAGGTTTCCCTCCAGGTCTCAGTGTTCTCTGTGTCCCACGCAGTGAAGCCACAGGAGAGGGGAGAGTCTCCCAGGGAGGAAGAGGAGGACTCACAGGTAACTCAGCTCCGGCAGTGGTGAGGTCGCCTTCCCTCCATCATAACCCACGGCACTGCCGATCTGTGGACAGCAGGATGGGATCAAGAGACATAGACACTCACTGACCACAGCGTGGAGTCCAGAAGCCTCCTCAGGGGCTAGCGGAGAAGCCCTCTGCTCACCACGGAGCCTCCTGCCCCACCCGGCAGCACGTGGACCACATTTCTCCTTCCTGAGAGGGCTCTTCCTCCAGCTCCTCACCCTCAGCTCTGTGTGCAGGGACACAGCCACACTCGGTGACACCTACTCTTCCGGCCTCACCTCTGTATGTCACAGCTTCCTCCTCATCTGCTACTCACCATATTCCATCCACCGTCACCTCCCAGGACAAGCAGTAGTGTTACAAGATCAGGTGTAGAAGAATAAATAAATGTGTTATGATCTTCACATACTATTGATAAGAGAGGCTTGCAACCAAATATGTTCTCATGCACAAAAGTTATCTAACCCATTGTTTCATACCTGAACCTCTTTCTAGGGACTCCACGATAATAATCATGAGCAGGATGCCTGGAGTTTGGCTTCTACTCAATCTAAAGAAGCCTTGGTATCTTTCACCTACTGCTCTCTTGGTAGAGACCTTAATTAAAAGATTTAGCAATGGAACCAAGAGGATGCCTGGGTTGATGATTGCAGGAATTATTTCCTTAGTACTTCTGATAACTAGCACAGCTACTGGCTCCATGGCATCAGCCCTTCAGTACAAGCTGCTTACTGTGTAGATACTGGACAAGAATAGTGATCAGCGCTGAAAAATGCAGCGAGAAATTGATAGAAGGTTGCAAACCCAAGTGAGCATTCTACAAACTTCCATCCTGTGGATGAGATCAAATTGAAAGTTCACAGTTACAGCAGGGCTTATAAGTGTCACAATACTATGACTGGCTTTTGTATCACCTAATTATCATGTAACAAAGGCTGCACCCTTAGGGGATGATCAAATATATACATACAAGGAGCAATTCCTCAGAACATTGCTATAGCTATAGGTGCTCTTCAGAGACTGGAGCTGTCTTTGTCATGACAGCTACTTTTGACACCCAAATTAAAGACTGTGATAAATTTGCTGATGCTTTAAAACAATTGAATCCATTTATGTATCTCAAGGCTCACTCTTGGTTTTTTATCAGAGTTAGTATATTCACTCTATTCTTGATAAATTTTCTCAAGGGATTGTGCGCTGTCACACCTGAGCTGCCCAAGCCAGCAGCAAAGCATCCGCCCCCTAAAGATGGCCCACCTGTTCATATACACTTGTAGGAGGTCCTCATGCATCACAAGCAATCACATTGTCTGGATCCCTACCCACTGGCTTAATGCCTGCCTGGTTTGGTTCCAAACCAGCGTAGTTCTGTGCCAGGCTGGATGGCAACTGCTGCCAGGTTGGATTATGGCTACACCCATCAGTATTTCCTTCTACAAAGGGACGAGGGGTCAGGTCCTGCAGTCATCTTCCTGAATGGGTTTTGGGCCTTGAACATCGTAGGTATCAAAATTGTTGCCAGTTCAGCTGCCAACAGGTTAGCTGAAAGCGAGGCTGCTGTTGGGGGTTTGGCCTCCGGCCTGTAAGAGTGGGGACCTGTGCCACTGCGCTCCTGGAGTCTGTCCCGTGATTCCTCCCAGGCATGCAGAGCAGCATCCCTGCTGCTGTTTCTCAATCAGGGAGTATCAGCTCTCGGCTCCCTTCCATGACTGTGACCAAAACCCCACATGGAGCTTCCGCTTCCCCTGTTTGTGCCACAAGTGCAACCAAACCCATGGTTATCCACACTGACAGGAGAAATGGCATGTTGGGGTCAATGACTCCTAGACTTCAAGTCTTGAAAAGCACCTTCTATGTGTCTTTTCAGCCCCATGTGTGCCCCTTTTGGTCGTCTAGTATAAAGGGCACCGCAGGTAGGTAGGTGTGGTATGTCCACCAAAAACCTACAAGTACAAATGTAACTGTAATTGGCTTAATGCTGTTGTTCTGGTCTTACCCAACCATATAACACCAGACAAACCAGGTCTCTGGACTTTGTCTTCATCCATGGCCCACAACCATGGAGCAAAGCTTCCTTCAGATTGTGCAAGATGCTTTCAAATCTATAAGGCAGTCAGAGGGTGACATAACATCATCCATACAAAACATAGAGTGCAGCTTGGCCCAGGTCACCAGGCCATGGGCCACGAGGCCAGGACACAAAGTTGAGCTATGCAAAATAGGTGTGTGGCAACATCTAGAAGGTCCACTGCCTGCCTTCCTGGTGAAGGCAAATTGGTCCTGACTGCCAGCATCGGGGTGAGATTTCACAGATTTCCATGCTTAAGGGCTCTGTGCAGGGGAATCACCCCTGCTTTTTCCAGTTTCAAGACAGTCAGTCTGTCCCTTCTCCTCAAGTTCTCCAGGCAGCTGGTACTGCTTCACATATACAACCCATGTGGCCTGTGAGAGAGTGAGTGGTTCCTGGAGTGGTGGCCTTGGACTATGATTTTTACCACAAGCATCTACAACAGGAATTCCTGCTTGGTCTTGAGCTGAGCATCAGTCAAAATGTCCACCCCCAGCATGTGTTCAGGAACCAGGGGAACAGAAGTATTACACAGGTATGGGGCAAGCGCCTGACACCCAGTCAGTGGCTTTCTGGACTGTGACGTAGTGACCTCTGTACACTTTTATGCATGCGGTGCTCCTGTAAAGTGGTCTGGGTTGCTGTATATTAGTGATGAGTCCTCTCCAGTGTCCATCAATGGTAGTATGCACTGCACCTCTTTGGGGACCAGTAAATAGTCAATTCCACATGTGGCCTCTAGTCTCCCAGGACCCCCAAGACCTGGGTGTCTCAACCTCCTCCTATCAGTGTGAAAGGAGGCCTGTGTTATTTCTTCTAGCTTCACAGGACTGCTTTGGCCTTCTGGCCCTGGCCCATTGGCCAGTACTGCTGCTCAGAGCAGAACTATCTCCACAGAGTCAGCAATGCATCCTCAGGCTGCCTGCCTAACTTATCTGGGCTAGGCTGGCATTCAGCAGGTCTGTCCACATCTGGCACCAACGAACCTTCAGGGGCCTCACAACCTGCCTTGGGGGGGGACTGCCCTGCTCCACCAGGGCCCCCCTTCTTTTTCTCTTTTGCGGGTACAGTGTTTACAGATCTCACTTTACCATGGGGCTTCACTTCTACAGCTCCCAGCCTGGCCAAGGAATCAACAGCATTATGGATTGGGTGACCTGAAAAGGGGGACAGAAAGGCTGCCACCAACCCAAATGCACCAGCTGGTCCCTGACCAACACCCTGTCATTCATGCGTGCTTCAGCAGCTCTTCTTGGTTATGGCACTGCAGTGCAGACACCGTCTGCTGCTTGCCCGCTTCAGGCAGCACAGTTGTCAAGCCTAGATAGTGACTTGTTCTGGCAGGTCATCTGGATTCTTCCAAACCAGGTGAGCCACTGGCATCCACCAACTCATCACAGTTGGATTATCTGCCTCTGGAGTGGTCTACTGCACATTCTGCGGAACCTGTGTCATAGAAGGGTTCTGGCTAGGCTGGCTATTTGGCGCAGCTCCTGTGGGCTTAACTGCCTGCTATCAGCCCCGTCATCTCATGGCCATAACGGCCAGGCAGGCACTGCTTCACCCACTTTCTGCTTTGTTTTACCAGCTCCCACAGCTCCACGACTGAATAGGCCATGCATGTTGTGTGCCAGGTTGCTCTAAGCAGCCCTCCCTGTCCTCCCTGGGCTAGAGCTTTCTTTACCTCCACTCTCTGATGAGTAGCTTGCTTGGCCAGCAAAACCAAGGGATTTTCTGGTTTTTTCCTCATACATGAGGAGTCAGGCTTTTGGAGACATTTCTGGAGGAGGCATTGCCCAGGCCTCTCAACCCGAGCTCCTCAGCAGCTGGTCATTGCTCAGCGTCCTCCTCTATCTGCTGCCACTGGTCTACTTGGTGGACAAGTCCAGTGGCCTCTTAATTTACACAACAGAAGAAAATGAGGAACAGCTCAGCCAGTCCTCCTGCCACTTCACGGTGAGGGGAACTGTTCTGTCAGTCACTTTCAAAGCTTGGAGGACATCCCCAGGCTCCAAATGGACTGTTTCTCAGTCCTCGGGGGACTTCCAAGTTGCCAGGTTGCTACAGGTAACCCTAGAGAGGCTGGGATCATTTATCAGACATTCCCAGGGCTCTCCTTGCCTTGGGGGGCTGTTACCATAGCCTCCATGGGATCACTCACCTCAAAATCTTGCCAACTACACCAGTTACTGATCCACTCAGAGGGCCCAAGGGAGATTTTCATAGGTGAGGCCTCAAGGTTAAAGAACATCCGTGTGCAAAATATCAGCAACAGTAGATAGCACAGAGCAGAACAGAGAGCCAGAGCGAGAGCGAGAGTTGCCGGCATCTTTCTGTATAATTCTCACACAGGTTGCTATCTCATGTTTATATTCTTACATGGTGCTGTCACCAGTGCATGCATGTTTACCTGTGTTAAATCATGGTTACATGACTGTATCCCGCTGTGCACCTGCACAAGTGGGGTCACATCCTCAAGGTGTCCTTAAACACCCTGAGCTTTGAAGCATCCTGCGTGGTTCCCCACACCCACCTAGACCTGACCTCAGCCTGAGGAACAAGAGATACAAAAGACAGCCCTCATTTCGCCAGTAGCTGGTTTCCTCTTTTAGTGGTCCACCTTGCAGTTTTCAGGGTGTAACTGGCCCACACTCAGTCTGCAGGGTATATGGCTTTTCTTTTAATACTTTTAATAAATGTGAAACTTCACTACCTCTTTTGCTGATTCTTTGTTCAGGACAGTGAGAACCTAGAAAACACCTCTAGAAGGAGACCTCTGAACCTGGGAACAATAATGGTATTTGTTATGCAAGCAAAACCCTATCAGAAAAATCCTTATCAGATCCCTTATCAGATCCGTTATCAGATCGCTTATCAGAAAAACCTGTATCAGATCCGTTCACATGGGAAGCAAAATATGTCCAGAATTTGTTTTTTTTTGTTTTTTTTTTTTTTTTGGTACTGGAAGTAGAACTCAGGACCTTATGCTTGCCAGAGGATTCACTTTAAAATACTTAAGTTTTTTAAAAAGTAAGAGAAGGGAATAGTGACATAGTAAAACCAAGGAGGAAAATGTTGGTAACTGTTGAGAGAAGTGGTTCATGTTTTTTTTCTCTACTTTGTGTTTAAGTTTGAAATTTTTAATTTAAAAAGTATGTCATAGTATCCCATTTCATATTTGGGGTAATTGTACCATCATAATATAAAACTTAAAACTCTTAAGACTTTTTAAAAGGTTGGCTTTCACATTATTATATTACTTATTTTCCCTAACTTTCTAACTAAAAAGTTATGTCCGTGAAATCCACCAAATTTGAAAAAAAAAATTAATAGACAATTCAAACCAGAGATTGGCTATTTATTTCTGCTCAAAAACCCAACAGTTAATGCTGTTAGCATTCAAAATATCTTTTTTCCTTTTAAAAAGTATATTTAAACCTGTTGTATTTTAACTAGAAGCCTGATCTTGACACAAAAGTAGTTCCTAGTAGCACAAAAGTTACTAGTTTAAATCTGTTAAAAAAAACAAAGAAATATAGTTTAAAATTCAGTTTAGATTATGTAACTTTTAGCTTTTCCTTTAGAGATATTCATTTATTCATTCTGGCCCTAAACCAGGTTATCCTTCACATAACAGATTCAAACAGCTCCTTGCATCTTTGTTAATAGGAACGTCGCAGTTTTAAGCAGTTTGATTGGTGACCTCTTTCAAGCACTCCAACTTTCTTAAAACCCTGGGCTTCTGAATACATTTTAACTCAATAAGTGTTTATTTATGTGTAAGGGGAAAGTATGTTTTCTCACCTATTACAAGGTTCACACCTGAGTCTCCTTTAACAAAATACATAGCAGCATGAGAAAACCACAAAAAAGTGTTTAACCTGTTTTATATGACATGAAAGCCTTCAGAAATGAAGTCCTTAAACAATGGAGCTCTGTTTTTATGGTCATGCAAATATGATTGGAAGACAAAAAGTTAAATAGAAATGGTAACATAGAAATGGGGAGGGATTTAGCAAGGCCTATTGGTTTAATTTCTTTTTAACATTCTTTTCTTTTGGGGAAGGACATGTCATGTAAGTCTTCTGGGAAAACCAGGTTTTTCTGTCTTGTGGTAGTACCAAGGATCAAACTCTCAAGTTCACACTTGCCAGGCAGGCACTTATGCCACTGAGCTAAATCCCCAGCCAGTCTTCCTAGGTTTTAGGGCCTGACCAGGAAAGAAGGGTGGCTTCAAAGCAGAAAGACCAAGAGATGACCAAAAGGGCTTCCTGTTTCCAGAGTCCCGTTTCCAAAGTGCCATATCTCGGGGTGGCTTCAGGGAAGTGAGAGGCTCTGGCCGGCCAGGACGCTGGAGGACCACAGGGTAATTGGGACTCCGGAGAGCCCAGGGGGAGGGGAGATGGCGGGGGGTGTGTGTGTGTGAATGATGAGGCACCGGAGCAGGAAGAGCACAGATTGGCCTGCAGGTGGGGCCGATCCCGGCAGCTTCCACCGTGTAGGAAGGAGCTTGTGGACACACTTTCATCCCGCTGCCCCAGCTACTGGAGCAGGCTGCGGGTGGGCGCAGGATGTGCTGACCCCGAGTACACGCAGAACTTTAGTCCAAATTCCACAGCCTCAGCAAGGTCGAAAGCAGGCAAGCTCTGAAGGCTGGGGACCCCGAGCTTACCTGGGCTGAACACCCCAACCCACCCAGCGCCTCACTCCAGCCCAGGAGCCCGCGGCGCGGCCTCTCCCAGCGGTGCAGGGCTGAGCTCACCGGCGAGGGGGGGCCTGCTCCTGGCCGAACCTCAGTTTCCTCGTCTGTCACACGCAATGTAGGATGTTTGCTTAGATTGTCGCCGGTCCTAAAAGCGAGCTTAGGCCACACAGAACACCAGGCAACCCCTCACCCGCCCCATCCCGGGAAGCGTCTCGGGAGCACGCGGGGCCTCGGCAGCCGCAGAAACCCGCCTTTGCGCGGCCCGCAACCGGGCGCCGCACTCCGCGCACTCGGCAGGTTTCGGTTCAGCCTCGCCGGCGGCGGTTTCTGTTTCCTGCTACCCCACCCCCCGCAGCTGCCAGAGATCTGTGAGAACATTCTCATTGGCCAGCGGAGTTCGGCAGGAGCCAATCCCGGCGCGGGCCGGAGAAATCCCGTCGGCCGACCCGGGAGCCCGAGCTTGCGGGGCGGGGCCGCGTGCGCTGGTTCCGGACTAGGGGCTGGGGGACGCGGCCGGCTCGGACGGTGAGTGGGCGTCAGTGGGGCGTCGGAGAAGCTCGGCCGGCCCTGGGCGACCGAGCGCGGCCCGGGGCGGAACCAGGTTAGGCCCGTCCGCCTTCCGCGCGCGCCGCTCTGCTTCGCGTGTCCGGGCGACCCGGAGCGGTGGAGGAGGCCGCCGCCGGGCGCTCGGCCCTGTCCCTTTATTTATTTAGTCAGAGTGACCCGGTTTAGCCGCCCATTTGGCCGTAGAAAAAAGTATGTAACTATGACGTGTAGTAAATGGGAGAACGCCCCGAAGTCCCAGTGGTGCCCAGGTTTTGGCACCGTAGCCCCTGGGCTTCTGGGGAGAGGGTGACGCCTGTCCGCGCCTGCCGGAGCCTCCCTCCGGAACTGCAGCTCCAGTCGTACCTCAGCGTGTCTCCCGCACTTCAATTTAAAAAAAAAAAAAATCACTGCTTCCAAAAGTAGGGCTTTTAAAAAATGGTTCCAAAATCACAGTGTATGTCTTGATAGATTGTTTTGGAAGTTTTAGGTTTACAGAGTTCCCAAATACTGCAACCTTTCCCCTCCGAGGAGCCAATTTTAGTACATTATAATTGCCGGGTGTGGTGGCACGCACCTATAATCCCAGCACTCGACAGGCTGAGGCTGGAGGATGGCCCTGAGTTTGCAGCCTGCCAGAAGTACGTACTGAGACCCCGCCTCCAAGAAAAAAAATCACTGACCAAACCCCAGTGTATTCAGATCTTCTAACCTGAGCGGTTTCTGTTCCATATTCCTTTAGTTGTCTTCTCTCATGCTTCTCTTGGCTGCGGCATTTTCTCAGACTCTTGATGGCCGTGACAGTTTGGAGGAAGACTAGAAAGTTAGCTTTCGTTTGCTGTAACAAGTGCTTGAGATAATCTACTTATAAAGAGAAGTGGTTTATTTTGGCAGGCAGTTTGGGAAGTCAGGCCTGTGGCAAGGCAGTATGTCACAGTAGATGCACGTGGCAAAGCAAAGTCTCTCACCTCCCTACTGAGGAGTAAGGCAGAGGAGGAGAGCAGAGCCGCAGCCTCTTCTGGGGGCCTGTCCTCAGCTACTGGAAGACTTTCTGTGGCCGGCCAGTAGTGGTGAACCCATGGCACGTGTTTCAAAGTGGACACACAGAGCCCTCTGTGTGCAAGTAAGCCACGTTGCCCCAGCAGCTGAGCATCAGATAAGTATTTTTTTTCCCCTAAACTAATGCCTCAGTATTCAGGTTTAATAGCATTGTTGGACTTGGTGATAATAAGTGGTTTGGGTTGCAGTCTGGGCACTCAGTCTCTAAAAGGCTTCTTAACCTGCCCTAAGCCCTGCATCTTCAAATTTCCTGTTCCAGTAGCTGTGAGCTGGGGAGCAGGCTTTTAATGTATGGGCCTTTGGGAAATGCTTACCATCCAGATACAGTGTGTAGATCGCTGTGGTAGGAGGGTACCTCCCCACTGGGATTTGTTTTTTTTCCTCAGACAGAGCATATGTGTTACTGGGAAGCAAATCACAGAAGTGGATCGCATATTCATCACGTCACAGCAAAGGCCTTCTGTTGCCAACAGGATTCATTACGTGCTGTTGTTGCTTTTGATTAACTGTCTGAGAGTGTTCCGCAGGTCCCTCTACTGTAGTTATGTACTTTGTTCCTCCTTTGTGTGCTGTATTTTTGGGAAGAACACATGTGCACCCTGCATCTGAAGAGCGGGGACATATGCTCCCCTTCCCTGGGGACATATCACAGCGCACCCTGACTGGCCTTGAGCTTCCCATCCTCCTGCCTCAGCTTCACTAGTGCCCGGATTATGGATGTACACCACCACTCCTGGCTAAACAGTGCTTTTTGAATTTGAAAACATACTTAAGACATACAAACTGTAATGCCAGCACTCATGAGGCTGAGGCATGAGGATCACTTCACATTCGAGTCCAACCTGGGCTACACAGTGAGTTCAAGAGCACTGTGAAGCCTAGCGAGACAGTGTCTTGACACTGCCCCTGCCCCTGCCAAATAGAATCACAAGAAACACTTTTGTGTGACCTCTCTTAAACTTCCAACAGCTTGGTGAACAGGGCAAAGCATTTCTCCTTGTTACTTAATAAAGAGATGAGACTGAGGCTGTGGAGGATTTCTCAGATGTCACTTCCCAAGAGAGTAACAGGCTGAACTCTAGACTGTGCCTGCCCACAACAAAAGACTGTAGATCTCAGAGTCTCTGAGGTAAGGCTTCTTGGGGTAACTTTCATCTCATACCCCCAGGATCAGAATAGAAAATACATTGGAGAGCCGGGCGTGGTGGCTCATGCCTGTAATCCCAGCATTCGGGAAGCTGAGGCAGGAGGATTGTTGCAGACCAGCCTGGGCTACAATGTAAGCTCAAGGCCAGCCTGCTGCATAGCGAGACCCTGTCTCAAAAAGACAAAAAAAGAAAAGAAAAGAAAGAAAATACATTGGAGGTGGGAAGATGTGGATTTTGTTAAACAAAGGCTTAATTTTGGCTGGCATCCAGGCTTAGAACTTGCCACCTTGCTGGAAGTGAAATGTTCCCCTCCCCCCGTGTGTAAATGTGTGTACATGCACATGTGTGTAAGAAGGCCAAGAGAGACCTGGTTGATGTTTGTGACAGTAGCGTATAAGGAAAACCTTCTGAGCCTGTTGCTGAGACGAATTTGTAAAGTGAGAAAGGGAAATGTAGGGGTGGGTGATGTTGATTTCATAAACATTTACAGAACCCCTACTTTGGGCCAGATATTGGAGATAAAATGATCAGGCAGGCATGACCCAGGCTCACATTCTTGGGTGAAAAGATGAGTAAAAATATTGAGAGGTAAAAATGCCAACTACAAGGTCATGTGTTGGTGCTGTCACAGAACTGCAGTGTGTGCAGAGCTGCTGCTGCTGACCCGGGAGGCCCAGGCCGGGCCTCAGGGCATCTTTTATGCAAAGCTTCAGAGCTGAGTGAGCCTGGTGGAGTGGTGGTGAAGAGAGGCTGCCTTCCTTGTAATACAGCGGCTGGAGTATTAGGCAAGATGTGGCAGGATTTGGGGCTTTATGGGTAAGTTCAAGCCAGATCATAGAGGGCCTTGCATTACCCCACTGTGCAGTTTGGCCTCACTTAGGAGTGTTGATTTGTTTGTTTGAGACAGGGTCTCACTATGAAGTTCAGGCTGGCTTTGAGCTCACTTTGTAGCACAGGCTGGTTTTGAACTTGCAATGATCCGCCTGCCTCAACCTCTTGAGTGCTGGAATTACAGGTGTGTGCCACCATGCCCAGCTGTCTAGGAGTTCAAATGCAGAATAATGGGATGATAACTCTGTGTTAGAAAGATGATCCCGGCAGCACTCTCACCAAATCCTACATGTCATCAGTTATTTTATGTGTGTGTGTGTGTGTGTGTGTGTGTGTGTATATATATATATATATATATATATATTGCCAGTTAAATTGTGATGTGCTGCCGGCCTCATTTCAGAGGTGCGAAGATGTCATGCATGGGTATCTCAAATTTGATGAAAAATAGTAACTCTAGCTGCTGGCTTAGCATGAGTGGGAATGGTTAGACCATCTCCAGCTCCTTAACCCATAAATGTTGAGCCAGCTCCAAATATGATCTAAAAAGTGCTAAATTTGTTAAACTGGTCTTTTCCTGATGGCCAGAAGTCCAGTTTGCTAAAATCAGAATGAAAATACCAGTGCTTTTCTGACCCAAAGATTTCAGCTATGTTTATTTTGCTTTGGTTGCTTTTAATAACAGAAGTGACTTTGTGTTATATGTGAAATGTGCTGGTGTACCTGCCAAACCTTTAAGGGTGTCCTGAGGTGGCCTTGTGGTCTCCTCACCTCCACTGGAGCCCACAAAGTTCTAGCTTTGAGCTGCAGAGCAAGTGGCTGAGGCTAGATGGAAATCCGGATGTTTTAGCCTTATCCTGGGACTCTTCACTGTGAGCTTGGGTTAGAAGGCAAGTGAGGGCGAAAGGAGTTCTCCGAATTCCTAGGACCTGTGGGGGAAGGCTGGCAGCCCAGGGCAGGCTCGGGGTCTGTTCTGCTCCACAGACTGTTCAGCCTTGAGAACCTGACAGAACTGCCCGTCGGTGTTTGCCACAGGGCCTTGGTGCAGATCTGCTGGCTGATGCTTTTGTACACACTGTCTATACACAGTATTTTCCCCCAGAAATCTTCTGCTGTATCAGCCAGGATGCTGAGGGTATGGCTAGCTTCAAAGTGCAGACTGATTCAGGGTTTGAAAAGACGCTGGTAGAATCTGGTTTCTTTCTTTGCATCTCTGGGTTGTTCATTCTCAAAGAAATCGACCGTCTGCTTAGCAGGATTATGCTGTAGCTGTCTTGCCCCGCACAAGTTCCAGGGTAAGGGCTCCCCTCGGCAGGTCTTCTTGTGACTGGCTGCAGTGGTGGCCGGGTCTCACCTGAAGCAGGATAGGGTAGGGTAGGCATGTGTGTTATGGGTTTCTTGAGATTCACTTGGAGCCTGAGGAAGAACTCCACCCTGAGCTGTGCTGTCCAGAAAGGAACCCAAAGCAGGAAGAGTGGAACTGAGGACGCCTCCCCTCCCCCAAGGTAAATATTTACCACACTTAGGCCTGAGCACAATACCCTCACTGCTGTGGGATTCTTTGGCTTGTTGCTGGACCTGTCTCATGCTGTTTCTTTTTCTTTTTATATACACAGACACACAAGATTTTATTTCCTGTCCAGAAAATCGCAGAAATTTTAAAGCAGTAGCAGGTGTTGGTGAGGCCTGGGCAGCACAAGTGGTGTCGATCTACAGTGGGTGCCTTAGCTTGGGCTGTTGTAGTTGAGATATTCATGCTCCCGTGTGCTCAGACAAGTGTGCAGCTTTTGCAACCACCCTCCCTGAAAATAACGCAAATGGTCATTAAAGAAGACAGCATTAAAGAACTGGTAAAATCATAGCGCACCAGTGAAAATGAATAAAATCAGCTCACAAATGCCATGCAGGACAATGGATGTAGAAAAGACAGGAGATTGTGTAGCTCGGGGTGGGAGTGGCAGGGGCCAGCTTGCTGAGAGACAAACCACAGTCAGGTTGAGAGGTCGGAGAACATGGAGAAGGTCCCAGCCAAGAAGTCCGGATTGTGCAAGGGGTCTTTTCCCTACCTCGGTCAGCACCTGCGAACCTGCTGGGGAGCACCTGTACTGAATGTAAAATGCTGAGGTCCCTAGAAGGCCTCCAGCTCTAGGCAGGAGCTGAGCAGGAGGCTGTGGTGCCTTTCGAGAACATGAGTCTGGACTCGGGGAGGAATGGGTGGGCCTGCCAGCAAAGGTTTGTTGCTGTTTTAAAATCACCTGCTGAGGAAAGATGTCTTTAATTGGAGTTCCTTTGTTGTTGGGTGGGGGTTTTTATTTTGTTTTGATATCAGGAATCGAACTCAGAACCTTGCACTTGTCAGGCAGACACTTGTGTCACTTGTCCTGGTCTGTTAGATGGTTTTGAGTAGGGATGTTAGAGACTTCAGATTTTTTTATAACAATCACATAAACCTCATTAACAGGGTGTTAATCCCTCCTCCTTCCGGGATCATATTCACCTGGGGCTAAAAGCCAGGAACATGAACTAACGGCTACATCGCTAGGCCTGAACTGAAGCAAAGGGAAGGGAGTGGAGGAGCCAGCTCCACGGTGGAGCTCCTGCCTGTGATGTGTGGTGCTGGGTCAGTGACACTTTCGGTGATGCCAGCACCCATTGCAGCACCGCACAGGTCTGTTCTGAGCGTGGCTGCACCGAAAACCAAAACAAAACTCTACAAAAAAACAAAGGAAGGCGTGACTGTCACCCACACAGTTTATTCCACTGCAGCCATTTCTCAGGCTGGGCCTTTGCTTCTCTCCTGCTTCTGTGCTTTCCCGGGACCAAATCTCACAGGACCTTGACCTGACACGGATGCTGCCCCGGTACGCCGGGTCTTGGTGGAGCACACAGCGCTCCTCACTCCTGTGGTTCTGGGTTCTTTGTGCCTTGCTGAGTGAAGTGGTTCAGTCCGCACACACAGGCCATGTGGAACTCAGGGTGGAGTTTACTGTAAAGTAGACACAGAGACTTACGCCTTTACCTGGGGACACAGCAGTGCCACAGAGGCATCCGCTCAGGTGGGAGTTTGAACACCTTTTTAGGCACACAAAAGTTACTCCTAGGGTCCAGGGAACTGAAATGATGATGTTATCAACATTTTACTTAGACGTTACTCTGGAAGTGCAAAATGTCTTCCTGTGCTTGTAGACAGTCTATGTTTCCTCAAAGGCGTTAATCATGTAAGACATTTACAAAAGGTCAGTTCTTCACAGCTCAAGGCCAGGTGTGTGTGTGTGTGTGTGTGTGTGTGTGTGTGTGTGTACAGACCTTCTCCTCCTGGCACCCTTGCTATGTGTCCGGGTTGGGAGCTTGATGACCAGGTATCAGAAGAAATGTGTGCAGCGTGTAACCATAAAACGTCTGTGCTCTGTGGAGCGTGACCTAATGTGTGAGACCTAACGAATGATCATGGATGTGTTCTACATTGCCGGCTGCCTTTCCTGACCCACGGTGTGTGCTGTTTGGACCTTTGCCCCTCAGGCTCCCTGATGTCTGACTTCGTGCCTTACATTGTGCCACCCCCGTTCCCGCTGTCACAGGCAGTGTAAGGAGAGGGAGCGTGGGCTGGAGGCTCCCCCAGTGACACTCGGTGCATGCCTTTCTGCCCGCTGCGCTGTGCTGTGCCGCTGCTCCAGCCAGTGCTCCAGCCAGTGCCCTGGACCAACACAGGTGCAGAGTCAGCGTTGGTGCAGGGCAGGCTGCATTCACGCTGTGGGCACTTGCTCTGAAAAACCTCTTGCTAGGGGAGGGGTCGGTGTCCTGGAGAGGGGATGGCCTTGTCCAAGGGCTCCGGCAGGGAAGAGTGCAGTACCTCAGGGTATGGAGAGGGGTTTGATTTGGCTTGCGTTGAGGTCAGGTTGGAGATGTGGAGTGGCAGAAGCCGGGAGCCCCCGGCTGGACCTGGATCATCTTGGACAGGGATTTTGACTTCACCTTGGGGCACCAGAAAGCCATCGAGAGGTTTTAGCTAGGTAAAGGCACACACAGGCACCTTAATTGTGGTGGGCTGTGTTTGAGAGACAAGGCCAGGGTAGTTGGAGCATGCGGTACAAAGGAGAGGAGGATTCAGGGTCCCCACTGCCGGATCTGACCACGGCTTCTGAAGAACTTTTCACGTACAATGCCAGCTGCAAGCTTTGGAGGCAGGGGCTTTGCCATTTTTGCTCCCTGCTGTAACCTCAGTACCTGGCATGTGGTAGACACCCAGTAAATAGTGAGTGAAATGTGGCTCCCTCTTGCTTAAATCCTCCCAGCTTCCTGGACTGTTAGGATAACGCAGAATTCTTCACAAAGCCCATGGTCCTGTTCCTGCCTGCCTGAGTGCAGCAGTCCACTCATCCCTCGCTCAGGCCTGCGCACCCCCTCACCCCATCCCTCTGTCGATTCCCAGCTTACAGCCTCTCTGCTCCTCATTGGCCTCAATCCCTCTGCCTGTGACCTTCCCTCCCACCCCTCAGTGGCACCAAGGTGCAGGGTGATGCGGAGCACAGAAGGAGCCACTGGTTAGCAGGGGCACAGCCCCAGCTCTGCCCGTGCACCTGACAGGGCCCCAGTGCAAGCTGGCAGTGAGGGGGCTCAGGTGGGGATTCCCAGCGCTGCCTCCATGTTGGAATCCCTGGGGAGGCTTTGGGGTCTGTTAAATACCGAAGCCTGGGCCTCCCCTGAAAGTTCTGACGTGGTTGGTCTGGGCAATTCTTCCCTGTCATTAGGCTTCAGACTGCCTGCCACATGTGGAAGGACTCTTCCCTGAGTTTGCAGGTGGGGAGCACCACGTGACTCTGAGATGTTTCAGGGAAGGGGACTGGGTGTGTGACACTACAGTAGACATCGCTAAAGCAGAAACAGAGAACTCCCAGTTTTCTTGCAGGGCAAGGCAGCTTGGCAGGGCAGCCACAGGGAAGGCACTGTAAAACCTTATCTTACCTGCTCCCAGCAAGTACAGGCTTCCGAACCTGCGGGAATTTCCACTGCTCAGAGCTGGCCCTAGCCATCCCTGAGTGTGCGCAGCCTGCATGGCCTTTAGAGCAGCAGTAGTGCTTGGTTCATGCGAGACAGGAACACTCTGGTGACCGCAGAAAGGTGTTGTCCGCCCAGTCTTGGGGTCTCCTCAGGCTGTGGCAGGAAGAGGCAGTCATTCCTCTTACACTTGCTTTCTGTCCTCTCCAGGTTTAGAGTTAGAGTCACTTTTGCTTCTGGGAGAGTTTATGTATTCAGATTAGGAAATGGACCTTACTAATGTGGGACCCAAGAACCCTTAAACAGGGTTCCCAATGACATGAACCTCAACTCTGCATTGAGTTTGCAGGAAAAAGGGGCTCTGGAGCCCAGGGCATGCTGAGAAGCATCTGGAGTAACCCTGCGAGCCTTGAACTGGGAGCTGGGAAGCCTGGCTGCCAATCCAGGCCCTTCCACTTGCCTCACAGTTGACACCTGGGAGTCAATAACTGGGACTCCTGGTCTCTTGGGCCACCTCTGATGACATGCAGGAGCCTGAGGAGAGGGGGCAGGAAACAAAGTGCTAGGTAGTGGGGGTATGGGCCAAGCCCAGACCATGGAGAAGCATGCCTGTAATCCCAGCTCCAAGGAGGCTGAGGCAGGAGGATTGGTGCCAAGTTTGAGGTCAGCCCAGGTTACATAGTTCAAGGCCAGCCTGAACTACATGGTGAGACCCTGTCTGAAAAATCCAAACAGAAGAATATGGAGGGAGAATAGCCCCTCCGGGTCAGAAGTCAGCCGGAGAGGCAGAAGGCCAGGGCTCAGACCCTTTGCCATCAGGACTGGGCCTGGGCAGGTGGAGGTGAGGCATGCAGTGTGACCCACAAGGTGAGATGTCACAGCAGCTCTGTGATTTTCACAGCGGGGAGTTGTGCCTGCCTGTGCACTGCCACCTCCTGCGGATCTGCTGCCAGGTGTTGATTAGGCCCCTAGGCCCCGGAGCGTGGGAGATGCTCGACTTGAGGGCAGAAGCAATTGCAGGGAAGTGGAACTCAGGGAAAGGTGGGGAGTAGCCTGGTTCTGCCTGTGAGGACATAGCAGGCCTCACCCTCAGGGGCCCTCATCCTTGGGGCGTCTTCCTGCTTCTGCGGGGTCACCGCCAGCTAGCTCTCGGCTTCCTGAAGAGGCAGGAGAATCACATGCCCAAACTGGGGCCATGTGACTTGAGGTACAGGGTGGTTCCTGGTGCACGGTGCCCCTTTGGGGTTGAGAACTCTCCCTAGAGTAAAGGGACTGGGGGCTTTGCTGGGAATTTTCTGACACTGATGTTGTATCTGTGGCTTCTGTGTGCCCAGCCAGGAGTGAAGGGATAGTGGTGAAGAATCTCAGAACGCGGAAGGCAGAAGTGACGGGAAAGGGCAGGCTCATTGGGAGTGAGGAGTGGCGGGTCCATCTGGAGAGGGTGGATTTGCTGAATCTCACAGGAGAGGGATAGGGAGAGCGAGAAGCTCTCCTGTTTGCCCTTGTCTTGCACTCAGCCCTGCTCCTCCCGTTTGCTTTCTTGCAAGGAAAAGTGCTGGTCCTTAAGATCACTTAGTGTGACCCCCAAGGCCAGGTGAGTCCGGCTAGTGTCAGCAGAACACTCGCCCGTTTGCCCTTGTCAGCAGCGCTCAGCTTGCCGTGGGAGCCGTCATCCCAGTGTGCTGACCAGGGTGCCAGTGTGGATCGTTCTGCCTATGCTCGGCCAGAAAGAGTGGGCCAGGCCCGAGTCCCAGCCACGTGCTGCTGGGCAAGTTGCTTAGCCCTGCCAAGTACCATGGGCACGAAACAACAGGAGGAATACGGGGCTGATGCCTGTCCAAGTGGCTGGTCAGCGGGCTGCTGGGTGTCAGAGCCGGAGGGAGACCCTGGGCTGTCAGTGCCTGCATGTCCCTGCTGGGTCTTGTCTGCGTGTACTCAGCAGTGCCACCGTGAGGCTGGAAAGCGACCAAGCGGAGTCTGTCTGACCTGATGATGGACTGGATGGGCCATGGCAGAAGGCACTGCTGGTTCGTGGCCTCCTCAGAGCAGACTCTCAGGTGCTTCTATTTTTATTTTTTAATCAGTATCGGGGATCGAACTCACGACCGCTTGTTTGCAAGGCAGGTGCTTATGCCACTGAGCTAAATCCCCAGCCCCAAGAAAATACTTCTTAATATGATCTAATGCCCATCCTGTTTTAAAATTTTTCATAGTAGGCCCCAAACAATTTTTACAGCTTTTTTAAAAGCTAGGGTTTAGCCAGAGTTTATCTTTTGTATTTGGTTATTTTTCTTTTATGACATTGATTTGTTTAAAAGACCAGACAAGTTTTTGTGTGGAATTTCCACACTCTGGACTTCCCTATTGTTCTCCTTGTACGGTTTGACTCTTCTGTCATCAGTTTCTCTGTGGTAACAACTTCCGTGCTCCTTTAGAATATGATAACTCTCAGACTTTGTATTTCTGTAAGCTGAGTTAAATCGAAATGTTTGATTAGATTCCTTCAAGTCGAACATTTTTGCAGGTAAGGTGCGGTTCATGGGGTGCCTCTTCGGGAGCAGGTGCCAATTTGCCATCTGTGGGTGACGCAGTGGTGGCATGGTCCCGCAGGTAGAGTGACCAGCACATTGGGAAGGGATGGGTGGTGCTGTTCCTTTGGCCCCATAGGGCCCATCCTGTATCCCCCACCCTCTTACTTCATGGGGCATCCTTAGGTTACACTGTCAGCGGCAAAGTGCTGGCTTTTTCTCCTTCTGTTTTGTTTTCAAGCCCAGGCCTAGGCTAAGGTCAGATCACAGCGGCATCTCTTACCATATCTTATGTGGAAGGGAACTCCAGCTGAGCTCTTCATAGCTCTGCATTCGTCCAGTAAGTTGCAAAATGAATTCCCACCCTCAAAGAAAACAGTTTTTGTTCTCCAGCAGTAAAACAACCCAGCTTTAAACTGCAAGGCCATATAGCGTAGTGTAAAAAGCATCATCCGGTACCCCTCCTTCGCTTTTCAAACCCCTTGCCTTGTCCTTTGCAGCTGAAGGGGTGCAGGGCAGCTGTGTAACCGCAGAAGTAAAACCGTGCTGTGGCCCCAGCCACCTCTGTCATTTCCACCAGCCTTGCAGCACTCCAGGGACTTGATGTTGATCTCAGCTCACCCTCCATTTGAGCTCTGTAAATGCATGTTTTTCCTATACGCATTTACATTCTTGAAATCACATGTATGTGCCGGAATGAAGGGCTATGAAGACCTGAGCTGCTACGTGGACTTTATTACCAGTCCAGTGGTGCAATAATCCCTTACATACATGTAATATTTTCACTTGATAAAGCAGTTTTGTTTTGTTTTGTTTTGTTTTGTTTTGAGACAGGATGTCACTGTGTATTCCAGGCTGGCTTGAACTCGCTCTGTAGCCCAGGATAAACTTGAATTCATAGTGATCCTCCTGCCTCAGCCTCCCCAGTGCTGGGGTTACAAGTGTGAGCCACCACACCCAGCTCAGATAAAACACTTTTAATGTCCTATTGAATTTGAGTGGCAGGGAATAGACGTTTAGTTCCTCTTCAGGTCCTGTACCCTGGGCATTTCATCTCTGTCCCATGAGTGCTGCTGCTGTCGCGCAGGCCACTGCCTTGAGGCAGGAGGGACTCACTGTGCGCACCAGAAGTGGCAGTGATTTGCCCATGTTCCCCGCTGTTGCGTCTTGGCCTCACAGCTGCCCGAGTGCCCTGCTGGCGGTGTCCCAGCGACTGCTGTCTTTACCTCTGTGGAGCCACAGCAGAACCCGGCCCTGCCTGTCCCAGCCAGGCTGGTGTTTACTGTGACACTGGCACTGCTCACTCTCTGCCACTGTCAGTTTCACCTATTTTTGTGATTTAAGTACTCACTGGATTTGGGAACAAAGAGTCTGCGTTTTTCTTAGACTTCCTTCTGTGTAGCACGCTTATGCTTAGTTTCCAGCATAATTCCTTCACGTATCCCATCTAGAAACCTTGAAGGTAAATGTCGTTCTCCCCCTTTTATGCATGGGTAAGCGGAGGCTCAGAATACTGAGTTGACTGCAGTTGTCGCAGCTTTTAGGTCAGCTGTGCTGATCCTTGTAACCTCAGACCAGAAGTGGCCCAGGCTGTAAAAGGTAACAGGAGCAGAGCCCTTTGTGGGACTGATTCAGCGTGTTGGCTGCAGCACAGCACCCGTGGGTGCCTGAGGCTTTCCCTCAGAGCTCAGCAGTCACGGTCCTCCCTTGGTAGGCCAGCGCGATGGTGGAGTTGCAGGTGAAAAGGAATCCAGCATGGCCAGGCTGTGTCCTGCTGACAGCTGCGGGTGGGTACCGGTCCAGCTTCCTGGGAAGGTGAGCTGAGCCCAACCACAGGGCAGCCCAGGGAGCCTCCCAGGAGATAGCACTCAGCCCCCGGTGCCTCCTGGTGCCTCCTGAGCTTCAGGAGGGAGCCTCGGTGCTGTTAGGCCTGTGCTGGTGAACCCCTTAGAGTTTTCCATGATAACAAATAGCCAGCTGTGACAGCAGAGATTGACCACTTCTGTCTTAGTCCTTCACAGCCGAGACCTAGAGGCACAAACCGAGACTACAGGGTGGGTCTGCAGCTTGTGCGCGGCATGGCTGAGAGGGAGCTCCATGCAGGGTGCTATGGATTCATGCACCCATTACCCCTGTCCTGCAGCAGACAATGGGTGACCCTTCAGTTACAGTCTCCATCAGAGCAATGTGTGGCAGACAGGCAGGGAGCCTTGAGGTGGGCCTGCTTTCTTAGCAGCAGGGTGCAGGCTGGAGGCAGTAGCCTTGCTCTTCCCCACTGGGCCAGGTTGGGAGGGTGCTCTCTGCCTGCTCCTGCGTGGCTCTCGATCTGACTGGGTGCTGGAGCTGGCACTCAGCTTTGCCTGCCCTGCCCTTGACTGTGTGTCTGCTCTCCAAGGAGGAGAAGCCCCACCGGTTAACAGAGACTCCACTGACCCAGGGTACAATGGCCACATCAGCCCCGCTGCGAAGTCTGGAGGAGGAGGTGACCTGCTCCATCTGCCTTGACTACCTGCGGGACCCCGTGACCATTGACTGTGGCCACGTGTTCTGCCGCTGCTGTACCGCCGATGTGCGCCCCATTTCGGGGGGCCGCCCAGTCTGCCCGCTCTGCAAGAAGCCCTTCAAGAAGGAGAACATCCGGCCCGTGTGGCAGCTGGCCAGCCTGGTGGAGAACATCGAGAGGCTGAAGGTGAACAAGGCCCGGCAGCTGGGAGACATGGCCCAGGAGCCGCGGGACCCCAGGCTGTGTGAGCGGCACCAGGAGAAGCTGCACTACTACTGCGAGGATGACAGCAAGCTGCTGTGCGTGATGTGCCGGGAGTCGCGGGAGCACCGGTCACATGCAGCTGTGCTGGTGGAGAAGGCCGCCCAGCCCCACAGGGTAAGCTGGCGAGGGCTGCCTGCGTCCACCTGGGGCAGCCGGTCCTGTGATCTCCCCTGGGGGAGGCCTGGCTCAGCCCCCAAAGGGCTTTTCCTGGCCAAGGACCTGGCCTTCGTCCTCCTGCCCCCCTGGTCCAGGGCATGCATCTGTCCACCACTTGTTTTTCCCCAGGAAAAGATCCTGAACCACCTGAGTGTCCTAAGGAGGGACAGAGACAAAATCCAGGGCTTTCAGGTGAAGGGACAGACTGACATCCTGGCTGCACTGGTAAGTGCCCCTGAGGAAGCTGAGCATTCCACCCGTGCGGGCAGGGGTGCTGTGGAGTCAGGGGCCACTGGCTTGGGAGGTGTTGGCTTGGCAGCCAGTACTCTGGGCTTTAGGCCCAGCTGTGCCTGTGTGAACCAGCCGTGTGCTTCGGGCTTTGGGCCTGTTTCCCAGCAGCTGGGCATGAGTCCCACGGTCGGCCAGGTCCCTTCCTTCCTCTGGAACTCACCTCAGCATCAGGGCCCAAGTCTGACTGCTGTGGCTTTCCCGCCTGGAGCTGAGGAAGGCCTGGCTCCACGCTCCCATTCAGGGTGGGAGAGAGTGCTTTCCTGAGCGCGGAGGGAGGGCCGAGGATTTGGTAGGAGGGAGCCGGCTATGGGGAGAGAGTAGTGCCAGAAACAGCCCGAGCTCCAGGAGCAGCATGGGCCTGTGGTGCAGCTGCTTGGACTTGGGGAGGTGGAGGCGGGAAAGGACCTGTCCCTGTGCACACACGTTCCAGGTTCAGGAAGAAGACAGGCTACAGTCCTGAGTGGCAGAAACAGACGGTGCGCATGGATACTTTACACATACACTCAAGGTCGGAACAGCAGGCTCGGTCCGCACTGGGATGACATTAATCAAGAAAGCTTCCTGACAGGAACGGACACCACTCTTGACCTTAGCCAAAGGCTGAGAAGTAATAGGCAGAGCTTCCTGGGAAAGGCAGCACCGGAGGCTCTATCCAGCAGGGAAGGGTGTGTTGGCTCGTGAGGGGCTCCTAGCACTCCTCCCAGGGACTGCTCTCTAGGTTACCTCAGGCATACAGCGCTGAGCAGCCAGGCCTTTGGTTCTGGTATCAGGAGGGCAGGAACTGGGCTGACTCACCACTCGCAGCCTCTTGGAGAAGAAGATGACATGGATCGCCTGATGGTGTCTCCTACCTCACAGGCTGTAGAACTTACGAGAAAGGGCCAGGCAGTGTGTCCCCTACTCTGAGTCCAGAAAGCACTACCCATCTCTTCCTGGCCCTTGCAGGCAAAGCTGCAGGAGCAGAGGCAGTGCATCGTGGCAGAATTCATGCAGGGCCACCAGTTCCTGAAGAAGCGGGAGCAGCATCTGCTGGACCAGCTGGCCATCCTGGAGCAGCTACTCATGGAGGGCAGGGAGAAGTTCAAGACTCGGGCCGCCGGGGAGCTAGCCCGGCTGGCTCTGGCCATCTCTGAGCTGGAGGGCAAGGCCCAGCAGCCAGCCGTGGAGCTCATACAGGTGAGAGGCCTTGCTCAGGAGGTGAGGGCTAGTTGGCCCACTCAGCTGCCCTGGGTCCTGTGAGCTTGGCCATCTGAAGTGTGTGCTGATCCTCCTCCCCTCACCAAGGTTACGTGACCATGAAGGGAGATGAGTGACTGTTGCTTCAGACATTAAGTTGTCGACCTTAAGTGCCCAGAAATTGCAGAGTGCTGTGGAGATGGGTGGGAGCCGCTGTCCTCTGTCCTCATCGCTCCCCAAGCACCCTCCTGGGAACAGCTCACTGCTGGTGGGCAGAGACCTGCTTGCGGAAGTGTCCTGCAGTTCTGGGGATGGAGACAGGTGTCATGGCTGGGGTGGGCAGCGTGAACTGTGCAGACTCAGTGTCTGTAGATGAGGGAGACAGAAATGGTGGGGTTTTCTCTGGGACCATGGATTTAATCCCCAGAGTATGGGGTAGAGAGAGGTGGGCACCTGGAGTGCTCCCCGGACGAGGCAGCTGTGATGCAAAGGGCTGGCTGTCAGGTGTGGCCTCCTCCTGTCACCACTGAACCAGGCTCAGCCGCCTGTAGAAGGCAGGGGCTCTGACTCCATCCCAACAAGCAGGAGAGGGATGGTCTCACCCATGCATGTGTTTCGGGATGGTTACACCTGTGGTCAGCAGCGAAGCCACTAGCATCTTTAGGAAAGTCAGGTCCCCGGCCAGTGGTGGGGCACAGTGAGGGCCAGGAGAGCAGAGGCAGATGGCAACTTGCCCGGCCTGTGGGGACGAGCACTGTGGACATGTGAGGTGGCTGAGGTCAGAGGGCAGGAGGGACCTGTCCCAGGTGTGGGTCAGAGTGGGTGGAGGAAGGATTTGAACCCAGGTGTCCAGCTTCCAGGCTCTTTTGTTCTCCTTTCCTCTCGTTTTGTCTTACCTGTCTCTGGCCCCGTCCTTTTCCCCGGCTGTCATTCTGTTTCCTGGGATTGCCCCTCTCTGACTCTGCCTGGGTCCCCGCCGCCTCTCCCTCGCAGCCGTTCTCCTCCCCTTCAGGGAGATGCCGCCATGGGGGCGCACAGTTGTGCATCTCTGAGGAAGAGAGGCCCCTGGCTGGGGGCGGTGGGCTGCCTGAAGGAGTGGAGGAGGTGGCAGTGCCTGCGGGAAGGGAGAGAAGAAGTCTCTGCCCAGATAAAACTGGCATGGGAAGCGCCAGGGCTGGTGGGTGTTTTGTGACTCTTTGGATTTGATTTAGTGACAAGCTGGGCAGCTAACTCCATAGTTGTTAATATTTGGCTGTCAAGGAACAGCAAGAGGAGCCCCAAAATAGAGCCCAAAAATCTGAGAGAAAAGGAGAGAGGGAGAAGCAGAAGGCTGTGTGAGCAGCACCTTTGACACGGGATGGATAGGACAGGGACCCCTCTGGGAGGGCTGGGAGCCAGAAGAAATGCTGGTGGGGGATGGCTGGGCCGTGAGGGTGGCAGGAGTATGCCCCCTCCGTGGCCTTCTCCACCTGGGGCGCCCTCCTGAGCGATCTCCATTCATAATCAGTCCCAGGCCCCCAAGACAGGTGTTGGGTGAGAAAGGGTCCAGGCCTGGGGCACTGCTGCCCCTGGAGCCTGCTGGGCGCCAGCCCTCCTGCACCTTCCTCCGTCGGGACCTGGTCTCCACCTCTCACAGCCCTTGACCCTAGGTGACGTGCTCTCCCCAGAAACTCCCGGGTCACAGCTGTGCTGGGACGGCCTAGGAAGACTTGCTGTACCTCCACAGCCAGCCTGTGGGCAGGTGCTTCATCGTGGGGGCAGGACGTAGCCAAATCTCTGCCTTGTCTCGCCTTCTGGGGAGAAAGTCCGGTAGTTGGGGCTCCTAGACCTCCGGAACAGTCCTTGCACATAGAGCTTGGCCATCCCTTTGGTTTCCCAGGCCTCCGTCTCCCCCGGAGGTCGCCTGCCCTCCGCCCACCCCTTCGCTCTTCTCTGTCCTGCACTTGTTGACTCGGTTTGGTGTTTGTTATGATGATTGTTTGGTCTCTGCATCCCTGCCGAGATGTCCACACTACCCAGCTAGGGCTTTGCATCTCTTTCTTTGTTTACTGCCCTCTTCCAAGCTTCTCCATCAGTGCCTGATACAGAGGAGGAGATTTTCAGAATGAGTAAAAGGAAGGCAAAACTACAACAGTACCGTGGCAGCCTTAGGCTCACAGGGTAGGGGGGTCTAAGCAGCGCCTCAGGAGAACCCCTTTCCCACCTTCCCCGCCACATGGCCCTCACGTGGCCAGCACATTGTCCTTCCTGTTCAAGCTGTTCCCTAGCCTTGGGCATCCTCGACCACTCCGGCTGTCCAGAACATCTGTCTCTGGACCGTTCCTGGGATGCGCACTTCCCACTGCTGCCCCACCTGGCTCAGGCGTCTTCGTCTCCCTGGCCCACAGCAGTGACCTCCCTCCCCGCTGTCACACGCCAGGTCACACGGGGTGGGGTAGCTCAGGTCCTATCCATGTCTCAGTACAGTTCGGGGCAGAGGGTCAAGGAGGTCTGCAAGGTCCCATAGAGCTGGGGTACCTCATTGGATTGTCCACCAGCATCCAGGGTGTGACCCTCAGTGTGGGCTCATGGCCAGGTCATCAGCCCACGTCTAGCATTCAGCTGGGGATAAAAAAGAACCAGAAAGCAACTTTTTCCTTCCTTCTCTCTTCTTCCCTTTCCTTCTCTTTCCTTTGTATTTCTTTCCTGTCTGACAAGACCAAGAAATCATGGTCGTTACTTTCTTTTGCACCCCATTCCAGGCAGTGTGGTCCAGGGTGGCCGAGCGCCAGGCTCTCCCTGCAGGGTTTCTGTCCTTGAGGGCGAGAGTACGGGTCCTGGAGGGCACACGACTGACTGTCCAGGCCTCACATGAGGCTGATCGCAGGGTCTGTTCCCTGAGTGTAACCCTTGCTTGGGACAGGATTCAGAGTCCTGCCCCATGCCCAGCCCTGCCTCACCTGGCTTCCTCCCTCTCCGTGCCCTTTCCCCTCCTTCTGCCAGGCTCACTGGCCGGTGCTTTCCCCTCCTCCAAGCCTTGGCTCTACTGTCTGCTTGGAGATTCTGGCCCTGTCATTTCTGTACCCGTGGCTGCTGTCGCTGTGAATTTGCTTGCTTTCTGGTGGTTCTGCCCGTTGCCCCTTGGAAGGTCAGCTCCCTGAGGCAGGGGCGCCCTGTGCTCTGCTGACGCCATCCCTGCCTCTGGAGCACGTCGCTGTGAGTGCAGCCCTGCTCGGTTCGTGTTGATGCCATGTTCTCTTCCTTCCAGGACACCAGAAACTTCGTGAACAGGTGAGCGTTTCCTCTCTGCAGTGTATGTGTCCTGGACCCCTCGGCTCTTCCTGCACCATGATCACGTGCGTGAACAAGGTCCCCGAGTCCTTGAGCTTCCTGACGGCTTCCGGGAAGCAGGCGCATGGCCTGCACTCTGTGATCCCAGGTCCTGGGCTGCTGTCCTGTCTGAGGCGGGGTTTGTGGGTAGAAACCTGACAGGGGAGACAGAAGCACTCCGGGGAGGAGGACGGCTCAGCCTTGTTGTCTTTAGGCCCACTTTTCTGCCTCCTGATGGGAGGTGATCAAGCCCTTCCTGCCTCCTCCACCACAGTCACAGAGAGTAGGAGGGAAATGAGAGGAGCCACGTGACCGGCTGGCGTCTCTGTCTTCTCCTCAGGTATCCACGGAAGAAGTTCTGGCTTGGGAAACCCATCCCTCACATGGTTAAAAGAAAGACTGGAGAATTCTCAGATAAAGTCCTCTCCCTGCAGCGAGGCCTGAGGGAGTTCCAGGGTAAGGGTCTGCAGGGCGTGGGCACTGGCTGCTGTGCTCTGCTCTCTGAGCTCCCTTCCCAGGCTCCCTGGAGTTGGGTGGTGCCTGGTCCGGACGATGTCTTCAGTAAGGATCGGCTGGAAGGTCATCACTGCCCTCTTTCCTCCCCAGGAAAACTGCTGAGAGACTTGGAATACAAGACGGGTGAGTGTGCTGGGCAGTCCTGGATCTGACTCAGAGAGCAGACTCCGCCCGGAAGCTCTCCAAGCTCCCTCTCTTCTGCACCAGGGCTGTAGCCCCCCCCCACACACACACTTCTGTAGGGGGCCAGGCTCTCCCTGCCCCCTGCTTGCTGGTCCCTTCCATAGCTGAGCTTCCCGCCTCTACCCAGGCCGTGCTCTGTGTCCTCCAGGAGACACTGCTCTGTAGACCTGCGTGTGGGCCACAGCCCTATGCAGCTTACCAGCCTGCAGAGCACGTGAGGAGACTGGTGGCTGCTCTCTGGCCCACCCTGACCCTGGCTGCTTCTCTCGTCCCTGCAGTCAGCGTCACCTTGGACCCGAAGTCCGCCAGTGGGTACCTGCAGCTGTCAGAGGACTGGACAAGCGTGACCTACAGCAGCCTGTCCCAAAGTGCCTCCCTGCACCCCCAGAAGTTCGACCATGAGCCAGCCGTGCTGGGCAGCAAGGGCTTCACCTGGGGCAAAGTGTACTGGGAGGTAGAGGTGGAGAGGGAGGGCTGGTCCGAGGAGGAGGAGGAGGAGGAGGAGGAGGAGGAAGAGGAGGAGGAGGGGGATGAGGAAGAGGAGGGGGAGGAGGAGGAAGAGGAGGAGGCCAGCTATGGGAATGGCTATGATGACTGGGAAACGGATGAGGATGAGGAGTCACTGGGGGATGAGGAGGAGGAGGAGGAAGAGGAAGCGCTGGACAGCTGCATGGTGGGGGTGGCCAGAGACTCTGTGAAGAGGAAGGGTGACCTCCTGCTGCGGCCAGAGGATGGGGTGTGGGCACTGCGCCTCTCCTCCTCCAGCATCTGGGCCAACACCAGCCCCGAGACGGAGCTCCTGTCTGTACCGCGGCCCCGGAAAGTGGGCATCGCCCTGGATTATGAGGGCGGCACTGTGACATTCACCAATGCAGAGTCACAGGAACTTATCTACACCTTCACCGCCACCTTCACGGGGCGCCTGCTCCCCTTCCTGTGGCTCCGGTGGCCGGGAACACGCCTCCTGCTGAGACCCTGAGCCCAGCCACAGGCTGCATCTCCCTGGAGACCTGGACCTTGGCAGGAGGGTGCCCTGACAGAGCGGCGGGGCAAGAAGACAGACCGAGTCCACTGCCCCTGCTCCGCACTGTGGCGGCCCTGAACCCTGCTGGTCCTCGGCACTGCTCTAGTCAGCTGCTCTCTCCCGCTGCTGGTCTCCTGTAGACCTCTTGACCTGGAAGTCCGTGAGGACCCTTCTTTCCTTTCCAGCCACTCTGAACCCCACTGTGAGCTCTGTGTGGGGTGAGGGGCTGAGGCAGCGTTTTCTGCACCAGTGTGGTACCTGTGCTGGCTGCCCTGGGAAGGACATCAATGGCACCTGAGACCACTTCGACGTCTTCAATCCCTGTGGCTTCTCCAGTTCCGAGTTCTCTGCTGCCCACCGGCCCTGGCATTTAGAGCACACCTGTCCCCACCCCAGTTTGAAGTTAAAGGTCCATAAGATGTGGAAATACACTGAACTGAGATCCACTCAGGCCCAGGGGCACTGGAGGCCGTGAGGCCCAGCAGCTTGGTTCTGTCGCTGGCGACTCCCTGGAGCCATCTTTCTCCATGGAGACCCTGGACCACGTGTGGGATGAGAGCCTTAGTCCATGAGAGATAAGTTCCCCCGCAGATGGGTCCTTGTGTTGGGGGTTTTCAGAGGGGTCCAGAACATCTGGCTCTCCACCATCTGAAAGCCAGGGCAGACACCAGGGGCACAGAGCCACCTCCACAGGGCCTTTCCTGCCTCAGGGCTCAGGCTCACTTCCTGGGAGGGGGAGGCAGTGGAGTCCACCCCCACCCTCCTTCCAGTCTGGCACTGAAGTGTGTGCAAACCCCACTAAAGCCCCCATCTTTTTTCAGGGACCCCCTAGCACCCCCAGTTTAACACACATTCCACAGTTTAGCCAAAGCGATCCCTAGTCTTCACCCTGACCTGTTCCAGGTGCTCCGCCAGCCCTCCCTCCGCACGTTCGAATCTTCCTCACCAGGCACTGTGGGTCTTGTGGCCTCCCAGCCACAGGTCTGCTGCCTGAGTCGCACCCCCATCTCATTTCTGCCTCTGGTTTGCTAAGCTCCTGGAGGGCTGATGCCAGCTCTTAACACCTGTATTCTCCATGGCACCTGGCACAGTGCTGATCACAGAGCATTTGCTCAATAAAGACTTGTTGAATGAATGATCTGGGAGTGTATTTTTCATTACAGCTCAGACATTACCCAAGTTCCGTGTGGCTTCAGAGAGTTCATGAGAGTCCAGTGGTTTTGGTGCCTAGGACTCTGGCCACATTCTGTCCTCTATGTCCTCTTTCTGGAAGCTCCAGAGGAGATCCTCCCTGAGCGGCTCAGTGCCCGGAGCAGGTGCCTTCCTAGAGGAGGATGGAGGTGGCAGCGGCTGGAGTCGCAGGCTTCTCAGATGGCACTGGCCACAGGGAGTGTCATCCACAGGCATTTCCTCCTGCCCCCTAGCACACCAGACGTGTGCTGATTTTTTAAACTTTTAATCCTTAAGGATAGAAAAGGGAGAGTTACACAAAACTACCTCTAAGACTACTAGTAGCAAGTGTATGTCCTCCCTCTTTCCCATCTGGAGGCCCAAATTTTCCCCCTTTTTAATTTTTTAATGATTATATATGGTCAACTATTTCTGTGGTGCTTATTATGAAGCACTTCTGTTTCATTCCTTAAACCCTGAACATCCTTTGTGAGCAGACTGCCACCTTTGCCTGCACTTTTCCTAACAGTGTTCAGGGCGCTGTGCTCTGATCTGCCGTCTGGAGGTGCTCTGGTCTCCGCCCTCATCACCACCTCAGCCCCACGCTGGGCTCCAGCCTTGGCCAAGAGCACGCTCCTGTGTCTGCTAGTTTGTGTAAAGGCTCCTGTGAATAACATCCTCCCCCTGTGCCTGCTTTGCTCCATCTCCTGTGACGGGGCTCTTGTGAATATGATCTTCAGGGCGCCAGGAGGACCCGAACCCTCTGCAGAGTTCGTAACTCTGGTGGCTGAGGCAGGCAGTGTCTTTGGCGGCCCTTATTTAGTATTCAAACAAGGAAGGTTAGAGTGGAAAACGCAGGAAAGCTGAGCAGGACCTTGGGAGGGGCTCAGGGACCCCTCCAAGCAACAGATGATGCTGATTAAAGAGAACTAGCCTAGAAGAACATCTCCAGGTGGCCTCAGCTGTGGCCTATGCTGCCCCCTGAGGCGTCCCTGTTCTGAGTTCAGCCATGCCCAGGCCATGCCCCGCCCTGTGTATTCAGCTTCAATGGCTCCTCCTCCTCCTCCTGCCTCCTTTCTTCCTCTTCCTCTTCTGTTTGTTTTTGATTTTTGAAACAGAGTTCACTATGTAGCCCCAGCTGGTCTCAAAGTTATGGTGCTCTTCCTGCCTCTGTCTCCTAAGTGCTGGGATCATGGCGCTGCCAGTGAGAAGTTTCTGGGGATGCTCAGCTAATGAGAAAAAGGTGGAAATAAAACAAGAGGGTGACATCACGTGTGGTGATCAGGCTTCCAGTTTTGTTTTTGCATGATCTTCAAACTTTAAAAAACAAAACTATACATAGGACTTGGGTTTCGGTATAGTGCCATTGGGTAAGGCAGGGGGCCCAGGGACCTCCACAGCCCTCTGGTGGAGGTGTAAATGGAACCATTCTGGAGGTAATGTGCTGGTGTCTTAGGAAATTCTTTGTGCAGGTGCTGCCACCTATCCTTGGGATTTATCTTAGGCCCTTTCGCAGGTTCATAAGAGAACCCTGTAGTTAATAGTGTTCATCAGTGTGGCTGGCGGAGGTGACCGAGGTATTTGTTACCATAGGACCGTGTGACAGATGCAGTGGTGGTGTGCTGCAGTGACAAACTATGAACTAGGTGTACAGACAGCAGCACGATTAGATCTTAGTAGTTTATTATATATGCGAGGATTCCTGCGCATCCAGCACACGTGAAAAGCCTTAGTAGCTCCTGTGGGGTGAGAAGAGTGGAAATAAGGGAGAAAATGCAAATAAAATGAGACCTTGTATGGATGGATGTTGGCTGTACCAAGAGCTGCATATAGCAGTCTTTCCATTTACAGGAAGCCAAGCAAAGAGCTTAGTGAGAGAGAAAATGAAAGGCTTGAGTAAAGCCAGCGAGCCTGCTCCTAGGCAGAGGATGGGCTTCACAGGCAGAGCAGCGCAAGCGGGGCAGAGACAGCACCTCTGCACAGCCCTAGCGCTGCCCGCACTGTCTCACCGGCCTGGCCTTTGCTGTCTATTCCCATCGGCCATCTGGTCCTTTGAGCTCCAGCTTTCTGGGCTGCTCTATCCTGCATCTACCAATCTGCCCAAACTCCTCCCACAGACCAGTCTACAGGCTCTGAACCACATGCTTCGGTACAGTCAGCCAGGTCCCCACTGATGGTACCAACAGTACTGGTGACATTCACCTTGGGTATTCACAGAGTACACAGGCCACCACTTAACAGGGAAGAGGTTTGTCTGACTAATGGTGTCAGAGGGTCTGCTGCATGCATAGAGGACAAACTCCAAGATAAAAACATGACAAAGGACAGATGGAAAAAAGCAATTCAGCCCAGAATGACCAAAAACGCAGAGGAATGGGAGGAGCCCCGTACAACAATGTGCCCTTCCGGCCAGGCCCATCTCCTAACACGCTGAGCTATTAAAGCGTTCGTGGATTAACCCACTGAGGAGTAACCGCTCCCAGGACGCCCACCTAGACTCACACACGTGACCTGCGGGGCCCTCCTCCTCCTAAGGCGTCCCCCTCCTCCACTGGTCACCTGGGACTCAAGGGCCTCTGGGGACCTCTGACAGCCACACCGTGGTGACCCGGCCCTCGCAGGCCCGCTGTCCCCGCAGAAGGATGAGGCAGGTGAGAGGCAGGACTCTCAGTTTATTGGGATTTCTTTCTCTACAGTCCCGGAGAGGACCCACGGGGGTCGGGCAGCAGCGATGAAAAGGCCCTGAGCCCCGTACAGGGGCACACTTCTCCTGTGCGTCAAGGTCGAAAGTCACCTCGGTCTGGTCTCATGGGGCGGGGACGTTTAAGTTCTGCAAACTCGTTCAGGCTTGCAGCTGTGTGGGGTTGAGGTGCTGGCCTTGGTGCAAGTTCCAAGGGGACCCCTGGGGGGAGGCGAGAGGGGACGGGGCGGGGTGGAGGGACATGGCGTGCAGTGCGGGGAGAAACCATGGAGCCCGGCATCAGCCGGTCACGCCATCTTCCACGGGCTGCAGGTGGCCCTCCCAGGCCAGCCCAGTGCCGGCTCCCTGAACCGCAGCGCCTGTGTACCGCCCCCTGGAGAACGGAGGACGCCAGTCAGCAGAGCTGAGCGACTAGGCAGGTCCCCCACCCCCCACTCCCGCCTCAGTTTACCCCCTGCTGTAGTGAACGGTTCTGTCCTCAAAGCCAGCAGGTGCAAGCGCCCTGCTGAGCCCTTAGAATCGGGACACTCGTATCTAGGGGCTGGTGCTCCTGGACACAGGTGCTAAATTAAGCCCCAACTAAAAAGTCAGTGCTGTTTTTTGGAAACTACAATATTTGTTTAAACTTACAGAGAATCCAGCACAGTGCTGGGTGAAACAAGGGCTTAAGAAACATTTTCGAATGGAAAACCACCACGTTAACAATTAGCACTAATGGAACATTACTGTGTGCCAGGCAGACGCTAAACTCTCTGTGTGCACTAATTTATTTAATCCTCCAGCTGTATTTTTTCTACTTTTTAGATGAAGAAACTGGGATGAAAAGGTTTCTTCCATGTTTCTCCATTAGCACAAGCTACAAGAGACCCCCCATTATCAGGCTTCAGGACGCATGCATTTAATCCCCTTCTCTGAAAGCAAGACCAGGTTGGAAAATACTCGGCCTTGGAAGCCAGAGACCCACAGTGCTGTCCCGAAGTGTCTGAGCTGTTCAGCTGTCAGTGTTCTTTCCAGCTAGGTCTTGTTTTCAGGGAAACGCAGCAAACTCTGATCCCTTCCCAGACCCTTAGCTGTTTACCTGAACCTGGTTCCAGATGATGCTCCAAGTTCTCTGTGGGAGGCAGACTTGAGGGTGATTTCCTGCAGGGCACCGGACTGCAGTGAGGATAGATAGGCAGACAGGAAGCCACATCCCTGCTGTGCAGGGGAGAGGGACCAGGACCAGGAGAGGCCTCCTGGGAGAGCCTGTCCCATGCGGGGAGGGAGGAAGGCAGAGGGCCAGGGCGGGCCCTCACCCCTACCTGAGAATGTCCTCATCATCCACAGAGGACCAGCGTTTTCCTGTGGAGGTCGAGGATCTTCCCAATGAGGTCTGAAGAAACAGTCTGGGGACACCCAGCTGTCTTTGCCTCACACGTGCACACAAGGGAGCGCTGGGCTCAGGCTCCAGGGGCCTGGCTGACAGCAACCAGGTGGGGCGCAGTCAGATTGCGCCTGAAGGACCATTTCTCTACCTTTGCTGGAAATGCACGTTTTCTGCAACAGGCATTTCCCCAGATCTAAGTGGAGCCAGAGGTGACTACTCCCAAGAACTGAGCAAGCCCCCTCTGAAGAAGGCAGCTGTCACCACTCTGAGCCTCCAGACAGCAGAACCTGCTGCTTGAAAAAAGCCTCAGTGCATTTCTACTTTGTGAGCTTTTTAAAGGGGAAGGAAGATGGGGAGTGGAAGGAAAATAGATACAGTAGTGACAAAGCTCCCGACTCTGGCCTTGGCCTTGGGCCTGAGTCACTTGCACAAGCACCGCATCCCCTCCTATCTTGATCTGACTCCAGCGCCCCTTGAAAGCCACACGTGGAGACATTTGTGGCTCAGGGATGTATGCACTCCCCCTGATTCCCCGGGTGGGGGACATGAAGTATAAAACAGGGGTGCCCTGTCACGTGCTTCTCCTCAGTGCAGAACTGCTCCCAGGTGCAGCAGAGAAGAAAGGAAAGGAGCTCGTGTTCCCGGAGCCTCCAGCACTGCGTGTCCTGTCCTGGAGGCACTGGAGGCCAGAAGCAAACGGGAGGACAGGATGGGGCAGGAGGAAAGGGTGAATTTCACAGGGTGGGCTTCCCAGGCTCCACGCCTATCATAAGCTATTGAAAACATTTCCTTGGCTGGGGATTTAGCTCAGCGGCATAAGCGCCTGCCTTGCAAGCAGGCAGTCGTGAGTTCGATCCCTGGTACTGATAAAAACAAACAAAAAAACACATTTCCTCAAATTCCACTTAAAATGGCATTAGATACTGACTTAGTAATAATTTCAAGGATTAAAAATGTCCTGGGCTCTGCCTTATAACTATGACCACTACTTGTAACTTCACTCTAGGAATAAAAATGTGTGTCCCCAGCACCAACCTCAGTTTAAAAGCCAGCAATCAGAACACCGGTCCTTCCTTCAGGTGCCCATGGAGTGTGTCCACCCCTGTGGGCCAGCAGGGCCCGACAGACACTCGCCCTCACGTGACGGAGCTCTGCGCCTCCCTCTCCTGCCTTCCCCCCAGCGCGGCTTCCCCGCGGACCCAGGCGCTCCCGTCAGGCGGAACCGTGGCGCTTGCAGAAGCGCACTGGCCGCCCTTCTCCTCCAGCTCCTGCCCCCGGGCTCCCAGCCGGGCACTCCTCCCTCTGCTGCCGCACCCGCTGCTCAGGTTTCCTCAGCCTGGCCGGCAGGCGGCACCACCACTCTCCCAGCTGCTGCAGAAGCCTGGGGAGGCTGCCCCTTCCACCTGTGGCCCTCTGCGCACCTGGTGGCTGAGGGGCACTCGGAAGAGGAGTTCCTCAGAATCATGCTGTGGGAGAAGCAGAGAGCCCTCGAGATAAACCTCCCCATGGAGGGAGCGCCCTATTTCTCTCTGCTGTCTTAGCTAAAGATTCTGTTACTGTAGCACACCAGGCCCTCAGAGCTAGGCACAAGTCTTCAGAATTCCTCCCACACTGATAGTCGCACTTCAGTGCGAGGTGGAGATGATCACGGTAATTTCACAGAGAACAAGGAAGACCCGAGGAATACATGATTGGCTCCTCTGGGCCCGCGGCACTGGTTTTGACCTTTGAAGACAGGCTTTGATGGAACCAAGGACGCTGAGGAGTCTTTCTGTCCCGGCGCCCACCTCCATGGCCACTGCTGCCTTAGGTCCCCACCCGCAGGCTTCCTCCTAATGACTCTCTGTATGGAACAGGGGGCAGGGAGCCAGCAGAACCACACAGCCCGGGTCCCTGGGGTCAGCCTGGTCCAAGTGTTGGCTCAGACATTCTCTGCCCCCTGACATTTCAGGCTGCCAGGCTGGGGCCAGAAGAGCAGTGGACTAAGGCTCCAGAGACCCCGGCTCTGGCGATGTCAGGGTGAACTCTGGCTTTGCCTCAAGACCTAGCGCTGCTCCTACATCCCTTCCCTGGACCCCCCTTTTTCTGCTCTGTAAACGGCGGCTGAAAAGCATCTTGGGTTAAAAGATGTCGGAATCACTTCTAACTCCAACATCCTGAGGGAGGGTGGTGAGGGGGTTGAGTCCTTCCCAGGCAGAGACCCGGCCTCCCCTTGGGTTAAGAAGTGGCCAGAGGACAGGGAGCTGTGGCAGTGTGGCCCTTGCCAGCAGCACTTGGGGCTTCTGGTCTCCTTAACACTCCAGGTCTCCAGCCTCATCCCTGTCTGCTCTCGGAGCCTCCAGTGGACCCTGAGGCGATCCTGAGGGGAGAAGGGGGCAGAGACGGGGCTCAAGTGGTAACTCATTGAGGTCAGCCGTAACCATGTCCTGGGCATACCGCTGAGTGCTGAGGGGTTTTCAAAGGTGATGAACACCCAATCCGTATCCCTACAGAAAGCACCATCTAGGGCAGGAGCGGGACACCCATGATAATCACGTAACAAAAAATGAAGTGCCAGGCATGGTGGTGCACAACTGTAATCCTGGCACTCGGGAGGTTGAGGCAGGATGATCGCCTGGGCTACACAGTGAGTTCAAGTCCAACCTGTTCAAGTCCATGTATATCGGAGCCTTGGCTCAAAAAGACAATCAAGATTAATCAAGGAAGCAGCTGAGGTATTCATAGGGTGCCTGGACAAGGAGGACGCCTGCCCCAGGACTAAGACAAGGGTCGGAAAGCAGATTCCTGCCTCGCTCACCTGGCCCCCGCTGCCCCAAAGGCTGCTCATTTGGTAGAGCTACACTGCCTCAGTCAGGAAGCCCACATAGTGGGCCTGGTGGGCAGGGCCCTCGAGGCATGGCAGGCAGAGGAATTCATGTCCTTCTCACAGAAGAAGTAGACCTGCTCGCCGTGCTCCTCGAAATAGTTCTCCTCCAGGGGACTTAAGGGCATGGGGACCACGGAGGCCTCCATGGCTCCTCTTCCCAGCATCGTGCAGAGCAGCGCCCTGCCTGATGGCTGGGCCCCCATCCAAGCAGTGGCCGGGAGGCAGTGCCGGCAGAATCGGCATCCGCAGTGGCATCACCGCATCCTCCAGGGGCCCTGTGCAGGCTGGACAGGTGGCCCTGTGCTGGACGGCCTGGAAGGACAGGGCTGCAGACATCACGGTGCCTCCCCATCCCATCGGAGAAGGCTCTGTCCACATGAATCTTCTTTCCCTGAAGTTGAGTCACTTTTAAGTACGTCATGGAGAGAAAGAGAATAAAAGGCTGTGCAGGGGTAGGGAGTGTGGACATGCCCGGCTGTGCCTCCTGTGTGCCCAGCAGCTGTGGCCTCCACCCGCTGCCTCCTCGTGGCTCCAAACTCCAAGTTGCCCTGACTCCCAGCACTGCCCAGGGCTGGCCTGATGGCTCTGTCCTCCTGTCACTTGCTGGTCCCTGGGGCAGGCAACAGAGTATACTGTGAGGTCAGAGGGAAATGGGTTCCTGGAAACCCCGGCCAGAGGGGTCTGGGGAGGACTGGGGAGGAGCCACTTCCTGTCAGGCTGAGCAGGACAGAGCCATAAACTCCCAGGTTTCAGGCCCCAGCATCAAAGTCCAGGTACAGTGGGAGGTGACCATTCCTGGAGCCTGGGGGACTCTGCCCAGAAGCCAGAGATTCCTGTCTAGCACCCATCTTTCCTGGCCTCACCTCCTCTGTCCCTAAGTCTCCACCACCGTGTACCGTCAGCTCCATGGGCTTAGGAGACTCTGGATTTCAATTTTATTTTTTCACTTGGGGTAGCAGAAGACAAGAAATCATAAATCAAGTGATGCATTGATGAACTTTAGGAAATTCGGTTGGTCAAGGTTATAAACAGATTCAAACACCTTGACCTCTTTTCTTATAATTATATCCAGTTCTAACAACAATCCTTTGGGGTGGGTATCAGTACCTTCATTTCACAGAGGTGATGTGGAAAGGTCAAGTGACTTTCTCATAGTCACAGAGCTTACAGCCATTAGGCTGAAAACAACCCAAGTTGGTTTCAAATCCTGTGCTCCTCTCCACACTCCCTCCAACCGGAAACTGGACAGAGCCAGACTCTGTTCTTTGCTGATGATCGGCAGCACCCGGATGCTGCTCTGCTCCACTCCAACGCCTGTTGCTGGATCCCCTTCCCACTCTACCATCCCCAGACCCAGCTCAGAGTTACATCGTACCTGAGGGCTTCAGGCCCAGATCAAGATGTGCCAGTGTGCAAAGTACACCTGGATTTAAAGGACTTGTCGTAAAAAAGGAAATATAAAATAGCTTGTTAATGACCTCATGATTATAGGTTGCAATAATTTTGGAAATACTGAAATAAATGTTATAAAAATTAATTTCTTGTTTCTGTATTCCATATCACTACTAGAAAATCTTAAAGTGTGCATGTGGCTTGAATTGTGTCTTCCAAGATCTGACCACAAATTAGGGTCACACAGCCTGCCTGAGGGCCAGCTTCCTGACCACCAGGAGACCCCCACAACACAAGGGCAGCTGCAGAGCAGCAGAAAAGTGAGCGCACACCGATGGATTCTTGTGTGGGTGTGACATGCGGTCACCCCGAAGCCCTGGCCCTGACCGTTTGTCTTCCCTGACATCGGCAGAGCACAGCCAGTCCCCTTGCAATGTGCCGGGCACCCTGCCGGGGCATCGCTACTGCAGATGCCTGTGCCGCCCCACCCCCACCCCCCAGTCCTTATCTGGATCCCCCAGGGCCCAGCCCAGGCACTGCCAAACTCTGGGCCTGAAGATAAGGCCAATCTCCCTGCAGACAGCAGCTGCCCAGGGGGGCTGTGGCCTGGCAAACCCAGCCTCTCCCCTCCCAGCGGCCGAGACGCCAGTTCTCCCTTCCACGGTGAGGGACTTGATGGACCAGGGGAACGGCGACCCCAGCCAGGGTCCCTGAGTCTGGGGCGGCGCGCAGTCCCCTCCTCGGCTGTTGGGGGAACCCTGGTGCCAAAGATGCACGTGGCCGCCCATCCGCGTGGGCGTGACAATGTCCGCGCCTAGTAGCCGTGAGCACGCGTGGGAGTGGGAGCTGGGGCCGCGTGTCCGCTTGGCTCCTTCAGCCTGCTCCCTGCCCGGCAGACAGAGAGGCCCCCCGGGGGTCCAGCATGGCCTCAGCCGCCTCCGTGAGCAGCCTGGCCGAGGAGGTCAACTGCCCCATCTGCCAGGCCACGCTGCGTGAGCCGGTCACCATCGACTGCGGCCACAACTTCTGCCGCGGCTGCCTGGCGCGCTACTGCGAGGGCCGGGGCGCCGAGGTGCCGGGCTGCCCGCTCTGCAAGGAGCCCTTCCGGCCCGGGGCGCTGCGGCCCAACTGGCAGCTGGCCAGCGTGGTGGACAGCATCGAGCGCCTGTGGCCGGGCGCGGCGCGGGACGAGGCGGAGCAGGAGGAGGAGGCCTGCGCTGAGCACGGCGAGAAGCTCTACTTCTTCTGCGAGGACGACGAGGCGCAGCTGTGCGTGGTGTGCCGCGAGGGGGCGCTGCACGGCGAGCACACGGTGCGCTTCCTGGAGGCAGCAGCGGCGCCCTACCGGGTAGGGGATGAGGGAGAAGCGGGGTGGGGAGGAAGGGGGAGGAGACAGGGAAAGAGAAGGGAGGGGGAGGGGAGGAGAAGGGAGAGGAGGGGAGAGGAGGGGGAAGGGGTAGGGAGGAGGAGGGAAGGGGAGGGGAGGGAGGGGAGGGAGGGGGAGGGAGGAGGAGGGAAGGAGAGAGGAGGGGAGGGGAGGGAGGGGAGGGGAGGGCGGAAGGGGGAGAGGGGTTGCGATGACGCGGGCACCAGGCACGGGGCAGGGCTGGGGACTCGGTGCCACCCACGGCCAGGTTCTTTCTCCCTGCATACAGGTCCCCCAGCTGTAGGCGCAGGCCCGGGGAAACCGGGACCTGCGATTTCCAGGGCATCCCGTGTTTTTTACCCTGGTCCCACAGCTCAGTGACCAGCACTTGTGTCTGGCCCACACAGCAGTCAGGTTGTATCCGAGGGCAGGGTCCCTGAGGAGTGTGCGTGAGAGCTCACGCTTGCACAGGGACAGGAGGGTGATGCGTGTGGAGGGGTCAGGATGTGTATGCACTTGAGTGTGTGCGTGAGCGAGTGTGTTTATGAATCTATGAGTCTACATATACGTGAGTTGAGTAGATAATTGTGCTAGGTAATTTTATCTGCATAGTAAATGAATGTGGCCAGGTTGGGCTGGGTTTGGTTGTTTATGTGTTACGTTTTAGCATGAGTTGGTGCCTGTGTATGTGAATGTCTGAATTAGTTCACTATGTCTGACGGTTAGCAGTCTATACAATACCTGAATGTACACATATGGACACTTACGTGTCTGTCTCTTACAGACTCCCACAAGAGCTAACGATTGATAAACAATTTGTCTATTATTTTGCATTATCCAAATTTCTTTCTCCAGAATCCTACCTATGTAGTGTTTTGTTTGTTTGTTTGACACAGGGTCTTTTTATGTAGTTGAGGATGTCTGGCCTAGAACTGCCAGGCTTACAGGTGTGTGCCAGCTGAATAACTGACTGTAGTAACCAGGGAAGGTTGCTATTTGTATGTGTTACCTTTAGGATGAGTCAGAAAGTCCGAATAATCTCAGGAAAGATTGCAAATGCCATTTACCAGGGGCAGATGAAAACAGGATGTTTAACCTGAAGGGGAAACCAAGTCACAGCCTCTGCTGAGAAAAGGCGAAACCTGGAGCAGAATTCTTAAAGCATAAAGCAATAGGAACAAGACCCAGAGAAGTGAGCTCTCAGAGCAAGGAAGGCTAAGCCTTGTCAGCTGAGGGACAGACTCCTTTCCTGGGAGTCCCACTCGCAGAGGCAGAGGATCGGGTACCCTGACCTCGCCCACGGACAAATCATGTGTTCCTTCTCCCCAGGAGCAAATACGGAAGTGTCTCATGTGTCTAAGAAGAGAAAGAGAGGAGATTCAGGAAATTCAGTCACGAGAAAACAAACGGATACAGGTCCTGCTGGTAGGTGCTCACCCCCTCCCAGCCCGACCCCTCCTCAGGCCAGGGTCCTGGGAACTGAGGCAGCAGAGCCTAGAGGCTTTGAAGTCATCCCGAGTTTGAATCCTGGCTGTGGCTCCAAGTGTATGAGTTCAGGCATCCCTGGAACTTCAGTTTACTTAATTGTAGAGGTTGGAAATCATCACTACCACATTGCATGGCTGCAAAGAGCAGATGAGATTGTGCCTGGAACCCGGCAGGAGTGTACTTCCTGCCAGGCGGGAGCTCAGGTGCTCCCCCACCTCCTCTAGCCTGAACCTTCTAGAAGCCCCAGCAGATGGTGCTGAGGCACTGCTGGCTGCCCAGCTCCCACGAGGGGATGGAGGTGGGAAGGTGGAACTTGGTTATGCTACATGCTTAGTCTACCAGTGGAACAGGCGATGGGCATAGTGGTGATGATTTTACCCCCAGACCTGGGAGGACATGGATCTGGGCTATAGGGAGAGGAGAGTGGAGGAAAGGAAAAAAAAAGGAGGAGAAAGGAGGGGGAGGGGAGGGGAAGAGGGAGATTTGGGGGAAGACAGCATCCTCTGGGCTCTTGTCCTGCCTCCTCAGGCTCAGGTGGCCACCAAGAGACAGCAGGTGATGTCTGAGTTTGCGCATCTGAGCCAGTTTCTGCAAGAACAGCAGAGCATCCTTCTAGTGCAACTGGAACAGCTGGACGGGGACATCCTGAAGCAACAGGAGGAGTTTGATCACCTGGTTGCCGGGGAGATCAGCCGGTTCAGCGCCCTGATTGAAGAGCTGGAGGAGAAGAATGAGAGGCCAGCGAGGGAGCTCCTGACGGTGAGCTGAGCCTGCTCACCGCAAAGCCTTGACCTCTTTGTCTTGTCTGAGCCTCTCCTCCTCACGTACACACGCATCCCAGGTGGCAGGCTGGTCTGAATTCTACTCTGCTCTTCTCCAAGAGTTCCCTGGTCACTGTGTTTCTGCTCTTGGTTTCTCCATCCTACCATCCACCGAGCGACAAAGACCTCACAGGCCCCTGTGGGATCTGACAGTGACACATAAACAAAGGTCAAGCACTGTTTTCAGTGCGAACCACTCCTACCCTGCATGTCCCCGTCCACCAGCCAGGAAGCTCTTCCTGGTCTGATCCACCTCCTCAAACTGCAGGAGAGAGATGGGGTCCCCAGGAGTCAGCAGAAAGGCAGCATAACCTGGGGCATCAACAGCAGACTGCTTAGAGCTCTCGGTGACAGCAGATGGCTGGCTGCAGCACGTGTGCCATCCGATTGGCACCACTGATTTAGGAGGCACACCCAGGGCTGAGAAGCAGGGTCCCTGGTGTGGCAGTTACTTGCCTTGGTGTCAGAGCAGCAGGGACAGGCCCGGGCCACTCTGCGTTCGGACCCTACTCTAAAGAATTTGCTTCTGGTCCTCTGAGTCTGGTCAACCCTGACACTCTGGTCTGGTGTCCCTTCTCCATCCAGACCTAGGAATAAGGCGGGTGAGGTTTGTTGTTGCTGTTTGTTTTGTATTTTTGTGTGCTGTGTAGTTCACAGTGAACTACATTCTCAGCCCTTTTTAAAAATATTTAAGACATGGTCTCACTAAGTTGCCGAGTCTAAGCTTGGATTTGCAATCCTCCTGCCTCAGCCTCCCAGAGTGCTGGGGTTACAGGTGTGTGCCACCACACCAACCTGGTATTTTGTATTTCACAGTCATAAAAAAGTAGAAGAGGAAACCAGGCACTAAATGCCTTTTCTTTTCTCTCCCTTAGGATATCAGAAGCACTCTTCTAAGGTAAGTGGTGCAGTTTCTCTTTGCCACATAAATACACATCTGTGCACCACAGGGCTAGCTAGTGCCACACAAATGCACGGCATTCTCATCTCAAGGGCACGTGTTCACATGCAAATGTGCACCTGCTGAGTGCATTCTCACACCAGCTGCACAAGTGGCCCCCGTGCATGGTCACAGCGTCCAGCCTAGAGGAAGTGCAGACACACTTGCCCCGAGGGTTGGCACCACCAGGCCTCATTAGTGAAGGCCGGGCTGGGTCTGGAGGGGAAGCCAAGGAGCCAGCCCCACCCTGCTGTTCCTGTGTCCACAGGTGTGAAACCAGAAAGTGCCGGAAACCAGAAGCCGTGTCCCCGGAGCTGGGCCAGCGGATCCGGGACTTCCCCCGGCGGGCCCTGCCGCTGCAGAGAGAGGTGAAAAGCTTTCTGGGTAAGGGCAGGGCCACCCTGCACCACTCCCCACCAGCATGGGTTTGGGTCAGGTTCCTCCCTCTCGGTCACTTGGTTTTTTTATTTGCAGATTTTTGTAGCATCCTCCTCTCAGGATACTGTGACAATAGAGAGATGGTAAAGGTGAAGACTTGTGGGAAAAGCCGGTTTACCTGAAGAATAATTAAACAAATCTGATCAGTTTACATAAGCGATGTATAGGATAATGATCCACAGCATTTATCGTTCTGAATAATTGAACACTTTACAGCAGCATCTGTAATATGTGATAAGTTTGGGCAAGGAGCGTTGCTCCTTAGTAGCCAGTGACAGTGTTTGGGCCCCTCACTGCTGAGTCCCCCTCTTTCCCTTTGCTTTCCTTCTGGTGGGCGCTTGGGACTCCGGCTTGATCCGGCCTGCGGACCAATCTATGGGTCTCAACCTGGAGAGGGGATCGGGGATGGGGGCAGGACAAGAGAAAAGAGAGATGGAGACAGGATGAGATTCCAATCGAGTCTCGTTTATTTTTAAAATGGCTACAACTTATATAGGGTGGGGGCGGGCCATAGGCAGGAAGAAGGCTTAATCTGATAGGTCATCGTCACATTCGGTTATATGATGTAAGCAGGAGAGGATTATGGGTAATGTAGGCAGGCTGAAACAGGAAGTTTGCTTGTCATGTGCATTGCAGGCAAGGTGAGGATCATGGGAAATGTAGGCTGACACACAAAATGCCCTCAGGCAGGAGGGGCAGGGAAGCAGCAGCTATTCAAAACCGCTCCCTACACCGGCTGCCCCTATGGATTGTGCCCCTCTCGTTTCCTGGCACCGGGAGCGGTGATGAGAAAGCAGGGTTTGAGATGAGCATCAGGAAGCCCCATGATGTTACAGATCACATCACCAAATTCTAGATGCCCTCCCCTAGAAATGTCCTCGTAGTCTTCCCGTAGTCCATGTCACGTGTGCCTGTGGCATGACAGTGAAGGACGCTTTACTCCAGTCAGAGAGGACCTCGGACTTCCCTGACAGGACCTCCGGGGGGACAGAGAACAGTGCTTGCCATTGTCCTGCAATGAGCAGTGTTTGGTGAGCCCTGAGGATGCTGAGCTGGCTCCATGAGCAGCGGGACCCCGCCCACGCACAGCAGGCCACAGGGCTCTGGGGTTCCCTCCCAGCAGCACCACTGTCACTGTAGCCGGGACCCAGAGCATGGGGCCTGGAGGAGATGTGTGTTAGCACAGGCCAGTGGACCCGGTGCAAGCTCAGGGTTAGCGTCACAAAGCCTGGCTGGGCACAGTGATGCACACTGTGATCCCTGCACTCGGAGGCAGAGGCAGGAGAATCTCTGCGAGGTCAAGGCCAGCCTCAACTACACAGTGCTCTGATTTTTTTTTTTTTTTTTTTTTTTTTTGTATCAGGGATTGAGCTCAAAACCTCACACTTGCCAGGCAAATGCTTTTGTCACTGAGCTATATCCCTGGCCCTGGATTTTTTATATTAAAAAAAAAACTAATCACAAAGTTTGAAATTCCAGCTTCCTTCTTCTCCTTGTCCCTCCCCACTTCTGGGCTTCATTCTCCTCATCACTGGGCGCTCTCGGATTTGGGGACTAATGAAATCCTGCTTTTTCTTTTTTGCAGAAAAACTCTGTTTTGAATTGGACTATGAGCCAGGTAAGCAGCTCACATCGGGTGGCAGACAGTGAGGAGTCCCACAAGTAAGAGGGTTTGCCCAGCATTGCACCAAGCACTGAATAATCGTGTGTGTGTGTGTGTGTGTGTGTGTGTGTGTGTGTGTGTGTGTGTGGAGTCCTCTGTATCCATGGGATCTGTATCCATGGATTCAACCTCAGGATAGAAAATTCTCAGAAGAGAAAGTGTCTGTCCTCAGCATGGCAGACTTTCTTGCCACCATTTGCTAAACAATCCAGTGTACATACTTCCATGGCATCTATATTGTATTAGGTATAATAACTAATCTAGGAATAATTTAAAGTACACAAGAGAGTATATCATTTACAGAATACAACATTCCAGGTGAGACACATAAGCGTCTGCAGATTTTGGTATCTGCAGCAGTTCTAGCCCCATAATTCCTGAGGGATGATGATGATGATGGTGTGTGTGTCTGTGTGTGTGAGAGAGAGAGAGAGACAGAGAGAGAGAGAGAAGTTCTTTGTAACACTTGAAAGGGACCCGAGCAGGAAGGACCTGATGCTCAGCCATCCTTTCTGGAGAAGCTCACGTGTCCTGCACATAGATGTAGAAAGACTAATTACACAGCATCTGCCTGGCAAGTGCTAGGTCCTGAGTTTGATTTCTGGTACCAAAAAAAAAAGAAAGAAAAGAAAAGAAAACAAGGAAGATTAATTAGAGCGGGTAAGGTTGGTAGAAAGGTTTCCATCTTGGAAGATTTTCCAGGCCAGGGTGACTTTGTTCTCAGAACTGTCAGGACCCCTGGCCCGCTCAGATGCCATGAGAAAGAGGGCAGCCCATGGGTGGACAGGAATACACAGGACAGACCCTCAGGGCTGTGGAATCCACATCGGCCCAAGGCCCCATGGGTCCTGGATGGCTGGAAGCAGCCCTTTCCTAGTGGACAGGTCTGAATCAGCGAAGTGTTCTGAGCGTATAGATACTAAAGTGGCCACTGCAGTGTTCTGCACAAGTTCTGGTGTTGAAGGAAGCTCTTGAAATTCCGAGGATTAGAATTCCTGAGGCCTTGTGGTTAGCCTGAGGACAGCCATGCAGCCCTAGAAGAAAGGGTCCTGGTCCATTGGGGGACAGGGGCAGGGGAGGAAAGTCTGGCTCGGAGGAGGGAGCAGAGGCTGTGTGTCCGCACAGGAAAAGGCCCAAACGAGGGCTGCACTTGTGAGCAGAATGCTTTGCAGAGGACTGCGGGCCTTGGCATGCACACAAGAGCCCTGGGCGCCGAGCAGTGTTGGATTCTGAGGCTCTATTTCTAACAAGTTCCCCGTGGAGCCCAGCTATGTTCCAGGGCCAGCCTATGGGCCTGGGCCGTCCTCGAAGGTCATAGCACCTCTGCTGACAGCTCTCTCTTGGCTTTCCACAGCTCATGTCTCCCTGGACCCCCAGACCTCCCACCCCAAGCTCCTCCTGTCTGAGGACCACCGGCGGGTTCGATTCTGCTACAAATGGCAGAATTCGCTGGACAGCCCCCAGCGTTTTGACCGGGCCACCTGTGTGCTGGCCCTGCGTGGCTTCACAGGGGGCAGACACACGTGGGTGGTGAGTGTGGACTTGGCCCACGGGGGCAGCTGCACCGTGGGGGTGGCCAACAGGGAGGTGCAGCGCAAGGGGGAGCTGCGCCTGCGACCGGAGGAGGGGGTGTGGGCCGTGCGGCTGGCCTGGGGCTTTGTGTCCGCACTGGGCTCCTTCCCCACCCGGCTGGCCTTGGAGCACCAGCCCAGGCTGCTGCGGGTGTCCCTGGACTACGAGGTGGGCTGGGTGACCTTCTGCAATGCCGTCACCCAGGAGCACATCTACACCTTCACCGCCTCCTTCACCCAGGAGGTCTTTCCCTTCTTCGGGGTCTGGGGCCGCGGGTCGGGCTTCTCCCTGAGCTACTGAGAGGGTGCAGCTGGGACTTGAATTGGGTGCTGTGTGGACTTGACCCCTCGCCACTCACTTGGAAGACTTGGGGTAAAAACAGCTGCTTCAGACACTGTGGGAGCCTTGGCTGGCAAGGGACAAGATGGCGTGGCCTTCAATCTGCAGGTCAGATGCCCAGTGGAGGCCGGGCATCTGGGCAGCCAGCTGTTGCCCGCTCCTTTCTCCCCCATCCCCACCACAGGGCCCTGGGCTCTGGGTGAAGTCCCGTCACCAACCAGCGGTGTGCCTCGTGAGCAAGAAACCTGCCTCGCTTCATCTGTTCTTTGAAGAAGTAGAGCTCACTTGTTCGCATCCTCAGGAACCATTTATTGTGTGTTGATCATGAACCAGGCTGTGTGGTAGCCACGGTGATTTGAGATAATGCACAGAGGGCATCTGGGCTGCACGCAGTGTACAGCCTAGGAACTTGTGGAGGCTCTCGGAGGGAGTCCATCCACGAGGCTTTTGGGGAGGGGCTGGTGAGGAGAGGAGAAGAAGCCCCTTAGGAGGCAGGCACCGCAGAGAGCAGAGGAGACACTGTGTGACCCAGGGGGCACGGGGTCCCCTCTACCCAACACAACGAACTTCCCTCTTACAGTGTCACCTCTAGCCCAGAGGAGATGCAGGGTTTGGGGACCGTGTAAGGGGAGGTGTGGCCCTGAGTCTTGCTCAGCCTGGGGAACCCCTCTTCCTGAGCAGCCTAGCGCTAAGTGGGAATGGAAAAGTGCTGTCTGCTGCATGCACTGGGTTGGGGTGGATGGCCTGTGCTCTTCAGTCTAGCATTGGGACTGCTCTAGGACCAGACAAAAAGTGACATGTGGTGGGGCGAAGGGGAGACTCGGGATGGGAGATGAGCAGACTGGAGTGGAGCGCTCTGCGGAAGACAGGACCCAGGCAGTACCAGGGGAGGCCGTGGTCCTGCTGGGCCTGAGTAACTGGGTAGCCAACATGTTGCTGCCTAGAATTTGGAAAATGATACCCATGCTGGAGAGTGGACTTTTCAATCCTATGCATAATAAAAGCATTTATAACTACACTGAGTGATTTATTTTTTACTTCTTCTGTTACGTTTTATTCTGCTTAAACATACCCTTCACTGACTTTCTTTAAAATCTCTGTTTTCACTGCTCAGACATAAACCGCACTGTGCTCTCCTCACCTGACTGGGTCCATAGGAGGAGGGGAGCCACCCAGAGGCACAGGGTAGCGGGATTAGCTCAGACTTCCTGAGAAGCCTACTATTCGTGCTCAGTTCCACAGCTGAAAAAGACCTGGGGGTCCCAGGCCAGGACCGGAGGGCAGCAAATGGCTTTCCCTGGGAGTGTCAGTGTTGCCTATGGATGCTGATATTCCAACATAATGCCGGCATGAGTGCCTGCGGACTGCAAAGTCATCTCCCCAGCTCATGGCCCTGGGACTCCGTTATGGACTGAATTGTGACTCCCTGACTATTTTCATGGGTTTAAGAGGGTCTTTTAATCAAGGAACGTGACACTGGGTCCAGCAGACCCATCCCTCCCTTTTCTATTTAAATTTATAATTTAGCATAGTAGTAGCAGCTGGGCATCTCTGTACCTTTCCTTGAGGGATGCAGGAAGCAGTCGTGTGTTTACCCACTTGGTGTGGCAAACGGCAAGCTGTGTGCCCATGTGCAAAACTGGCAAAATGGGATTTTTACCCACCTTATGCTCCATCTAACTGGTCTTGGCTGTGTTTACCTGAGCATCACAGAGGTCCAATAGACTCACAGCACTACAGGATTTGCTTTTTTTGTTTTTGGTACAGGGGATGGAACTCACAACCATGCGCTTGCAAGGCAGGCACTTATGCCACTGAGCTAAATCCCCAGCCCCCAGGATTTGTTTAAAAATTTTTTCTTTTGATTTTTCTGGTAGAAGTAGCCCAATGCAGTACAATGGCACAGAAAAACCATTTTTTCAAGTCTTGGAGGAGGTCAAAAGAAAAATCACTACTACTGCATGGATGATGAAGACGATCCACTATGGAAAAATACATGCTTGGTAACAGAAGAATGGTGGGGGGGTGTGAGATGATGATTGTCTTAGTTACTTTTTACTCATTGTTGAGACGAAATACTTGATGTACAAAGTTAGGGAAGGAAAGGTTTATTTCTTACAGTTCTTAGAGATTTCAGTCCATGTTCAGTTGGCTCCAAGGCATTGTGGCATGGCTGGGCTGCAGTTTATGGCTGCTGCAAACAGCAAAAGCGACCTTCTTCCCGACCCTTACATGGTGTGACCGATCCACCCCAGGTGGGTGGATCACTCACATCGCCAGCCCTAGCACTGACAACAAACCAATCACAAACGCTAGATTCAGCTGCATCCATATTGCATGGGTGGGGGAGGAATATATAATCTATACCGATGATGATGATGATGATGATGATGATGATGATGATGTGATGACTTTGATGTTGGCCATGGAAGCCAAATTTCCTGTGGCAGTGAAATGGAGCAAGAATCCACTGATACAGACACAGGGAGTGCAGACCTCCTAGATTCAGACGACAAGGATTCAGGACAAAATGGGAAGGCTACTGAGATGTCACATATGTCCTACAAAAAGGCCAGTAAAGCAAAGTACATGTGCTTTCAGTGATACCTGTGTATGGAACGGGCTGTCGTCATGTGTGCACACTGCCATAGGTGTGATCATTGAAGTAAAGATTTTTTTTTACCAGGGATCAAACTCATGACCTCATACTTGCCAGGCAGGCACTTATACTGCTAAACTAAATCCCCAGCCTGTAAAGAATTTATTTGTTTATTTATTTATTTATTTATTTAGGCTTTTTGAGATCTCACTTTTTGAGTCTCACTCTGTAGCCCAGGCTGGCTTTGAATTCATGACAATCCTCCTGCCTCAGCCTCTTAAGTGCTGGGATTACAGGTGTGTGTGCTTTTTTAGATTTTGTCCATTAACAACAGTCCATGTTGAAAACTTTGATGCTTTCTATTTTTTTTTTTTTTTTTTTTTTTTTTGGTACTGGGGATCGAACTCATAACCTCATGCTTGCCAGGCAGATACTTATGCCACTCAGCTAAATCCCCAGCCAATGCTTTCTTTTTATAAGCATTACATATTAAAACATAAAAAACCTTTTTTAAAAAATTCAAAACTTCATGTGATTTTTTTCCTGTTAGGTACTCATTTTACCTCATTAATAAGCTCATAAAACGAATAACCAATAGAAATATTCTAAGTATAAACGTGGGTCTGCGCTTTTATGACAGAATTACTGTTAGACTCCTACTACAGGCAGGTGAAGCCCTAGCCTGTCCGCAAGCTCCTGGGCTGCGGAGCAGGTCACGCAGCTCCAGCCACTTCTCGGTGGCTCTGGGAGTGAAGACCATCAAGGCCGGGCAGTTGTGGTGCCAGGACCTGGGTGAAAAAACAGTTTGTGTTTCTTACCCCAGGAAACAACAGGAAACGGTGGGAAATGCACTTGCCTGTCAGCCCCAAACGCTGCTGCACTGGGGCCAGCTAGAGAGTGAGACTTCCACCGGCTCAGCGGGGCAGGGCGGGGCGGGGCGGGGCGGGGCCGGTGGATGGGGGGCCTGGCTGTCCAGGGCCACACCTGTCACTCCCCACCCCACCCTTTTGCCCTCGCCCCCTACAGTTTTTCTGCCTTTGTTGTTGTTGTTTTTTTTGTTTTTTGCTTTGTTTTTGGTGGTTGTTTATGGCCTTTGCCCTCCCAGGATGTAATTGAAGGAAACTTGTTCAGCCTTAACTAACCCAGAACCTTAGTTTGGGTGTGAGTCTTTTACAGCTGCTACAGACCCAGCTAATTCAGAGGATAAGGGCTTATTAGAGTGGTTAATGAAACACGGATCCACTGAAAATACTCAATTTCTTACAGGATGGGGTAAAAAAGGAACTGGGGTGCGTTCTGCCCCTGAACCAACTCCACACAGCAGCACTACGCGCTACACACGTGGACTATCGCCCTAAAATAAAAAATAAAACCGCACGGCCTACCCGGGCCTGCTCCAGGGTAATTTTACTTGAAGTTGTCTTATTTTGGAGAAAGTGCGTGGCTGCAACCTCACTGTGACTCCAGGATAGGGGACCCTGAGGCCGGCAGGAAGTGTGTCCAGAGGCCTGGTGCTTCTGGGAGCCCTCCCCGACTCCACAGCAATGACAGTCTCAGGTCCACACCCCACTTCGCCACGACTTCCACCGTAGCAGCTGTTTCTGTAAGAAGGGAGCCCTGTTGATCCCGTTGGCTGGGTCTGAAAAGATTAATGGAAGCACAGACACAAGAACCTGGAAGCACAGCTCTTTTAGCCTTCGGGCCTCCCAGCCTCCTGGCCAGGTGGGGGGCACAGCAGAGAGAGCAGGGCTCCACCGGTTCCCCCAGGAAGAACTTGGGACTAAAACACCAATAACAAATACACACAAACTCATTCTGGCCAAACACTGATGTTTTTTATCATTATTTTCTCCAGCACTAGGGATTGAACTCAGGCCCTTTGAACTGAGCCACATCCTCAGCCCTTTTTACGTATTTATTGTTATTCTGAGACACCATCTTAATAAATCTCTAAATTGCCCGGGCTGGAACTGCACTTGGGATCCTCCTGCCTCAGCCTCTCTGAGTTGTGGCATTGTAGGCACGCATCGCCATGGCTGCTACCACAAGTGTCTCACTTTTCTGCTCCTTCATCAGCCCTGCGGGGGAGGCACAGCCACTAGTACTCCATTTTACACCCAGAAGCGGCAAGGCGTGTGGTCAAGCATGGTCCCCAGCCAGCAGCAGTGAGCAGCAGCAGCCCAAGTGCTGGGACTCCTGTTCGGCCCGAGCCCACGCTCCTGGCTGCCACACTGCTGTGCAACACAAGCCAGGCACTGGCAAGATGTGGCCAGGTCCTCCGTGGCCACAGCAACGCAGCCATGGACTGCAGCATGGCTGCTCCTCCCTGCCAGTGGGTGGCCCGTCTGCACCCAGCTCTGGTTTTGGTCTCTCATCCTTGTCTCTCTTGGACACGTTCCTTCCCGACAGCTGCCTCACAGTCCAGCTGGCCATGGTCTGTGACCAGTTGCCCTCCCCGGCCCAGGCATCAGTGGCCATTCAGACAACTGTGAGGACTGGACACCAGCCTGCACCATCACCGGCTTCTCTGCAGCACAGAGATCCACAGCCTCCTCCTGTTGCCATGGAGACAGGTTCTCTGGGACCCCAACCCCACTGAGGCAGCAGGGTCATCCCCTTCAGGGGCTCCTTTCCCAGCTGCAGTGTCCTTCCCAGCCAGGTTTCTTCTCTGAGATCGGCGGCTCTCTGCCAAGGAGCCATCGTTGTTTCCCTGAATATTCACACCAGGCTCTTCTCCCTTCCTTCCTGCCCACTGCCAGCGGCTGCCCGGCTGCCTGGCACGAAGGGTCCCACAGGTTTCCTGGGACGGCACCATTGCTCTGACAGCCCCCTCCTCGGTGCCCTCGGTGAGTCTGTTCAACTTCTCCCTGCGCCGGACATGGAGGGTTAGGGGCACAGCCTCCCCACTGCGTGCTGAGACTTTTCCCTTCCTCTGCGCTTTCTTTCAAGTAGCTGCTCCGACCTGGGATTTTCTCACCTTTCTTTCCCGCCTGTCGGAGCCCATGTCCTCCACGAAACCTCCTCTGATTTTCCCAGTGTTGCTTGGATCTGTCCTTGAATTCCTGAAACATTTAGCTTAATTTAGTCCTGTAGCTGCAGGTCTGGGAGTGGAATGTTTAAAGAGGCGAGGTGAATGTATTTATAGAATCCTTACGATGTGCCAGGCACTGCAGCAGGCGCTGTGGATGTGTAACCCGTACATGTCATCCTTACAGCAGTCCCGAGCCACGGTACCATCGTCCTCTTCTACAAGGAGGTGGAGCTGATGTTCAGAGAGGCGTGGGAACTTGTCCAGTGTCACAGAGGTTTTTGGGGGTCAGGACTGAACCCCAAACTCAAGGCTGACCCTGAATTTCCATTTTATAGCCCAGCACAGCAATTCCTTGTGATCACATTATTTTCTTTATTTCCTCTGTGCC